TGAACAGCTCTCTGGCCGAACCACTCCACTATGCAGGGGGCTATGAACCCCAGGATTCCAAGGAATGGAAGGTGGTGATCCCAGCTTTCTTGGGGGTGATTTGCCTGGCTGGCTTTGCAGGGAATGTATGTGTAATTGGAATCTTAGTGTACAATACAAAGAAAGGGAAACCTTCAGTGATTCATTCTTTGATCTTCAACCTCAGCCTGGCAGATCTGCTTCTCATTCTTTTTGTCGTGCCCTTCAGGGCAGCTGCTTATTCTCAAGGAGTTTGGTACTTGGGCTGGTTTCTTTGCAAAACCTCGGACTGGTTCCGACATGCTTGCATGACAGTCAAGAGTCTAACTATTGCTGTGGTCGCCAAGACGTGCTTCATGTATGCAAATAATCCAGCAAAACAAGTGAATATTAAATGGCACACCATCTGTGCGGTGCTGATGGTTATTTGGCTGGTGGCCTTGGGAATCCCACTACCTTTGTGGTTCTTCAACAGCCTCTGGGAGCCAGAGATAGGCTCATCTTTGTGCATTGTGATTATTCCAGCCCAAGCTCATGAGTTTATGTCAGTCTTCGTCAAATTTTATCCTTTGCTGGTATTTTGTGCCCCCCTCACCTTTGCCTTCTTTTATTTCTGGAGAGCATATGGTAGATGCCAGAGGAGGGGGACCAAGACTCAAAACCTAAGGAATCAGATTCGATCCAGGTGTTTGACTATGATGCTTCTGAGCGTTACCATTACTTCTGCTGTGATGTGGCTTCCTGACTGGATATCTTGGTTCTGGGTCTGGCACCTGAAGAAGGATGGAGCTGCTCCCCCACAAGGTTTCATGGCCACTACCCAAGTCTTGATGTTTGCCATCTCTTCAGCAAACCCTGTTATCTTTGTACTTATGTCTGAAGAATTCAGAGAGGGTTTTAAAGGTCTATGGAAATGGTTTACTATGAAAAAACCTCTACCTACTACAGAAGATCTGGAGGAAACAGCAGTCGATAACTTGGAGGGAATCCCAAACAATGCTCCGTCACCAGAGGCAATGACTCCTAATCAAGAGAAAGAGCCCCCCTCTATTCCTGCTACCTCAGAAGGCTTGGAAATAAAGGAGATGCCCATTTTGCCAGATGTTGAGCAATTCTGGCACGACAGGGAAGCCATTCCTGATGCTCAAGACAATGATCCTGTTCCTTGGGAACATGAAGGACGAGAGATAGCAGGTTGTGATCAACAAAAGTGCAATTAGAAAGCTGGAAAGACAAACCAAATTTTACTAGGTTGGATCCAAACATAGTCATGCTTAGGGTAGATCCACTGAAATCATGAGATGTCCCTTGGATAAGGCTAACTTTAAAAATCTATTAGTTAATGGGTCTCATCCTAACATGACTAAACCTGGTTCCAGCACTAGATTTTTATTACTTAGTTGGGTGATGTTGAACTGACAGTTGAGGCATGTAGAACAGTTTTATTCATTACTTAGTTTTTGTCTTTGCATGTGTTCAGTAACATTTGGGAGTTACTTCTTCAAATATTATGTGACGCATAGATGCAGCAGTCATTCTCATTATTCTGCTGTTAACATTTTATTATTTAAAACTTATTTGCACTTCTGGATGCTAATTTAAAATTTCAGAGTATTTTTTTAAAAAAACTGGTTAAATTTGCAAAGTAACATTGCTTACAAGTGAGCTGATACCACATGCTCTAATTATAAAACAGAAGGGATTTCTGATTTGATATATCTATATATCTATGTAAAATTTGAAAAGGTGAGCCTTTGAACAAAGAATTGCAGAGGAAAGGTATAATTTGATTTTCAGTAATGAGAGTATGCATTATAGATTTTCTTATCATTACCACAGCAAATGTATATTAAATATATTCAAAGAAAAAGTGGATCAAGTTATTATATTAACTGATCAGCTTTCCAACTGGTAGTTTTTCTATTGCTGTACCTAAGTAATTGAACTGAAATTTATACTTTACTGTTCCAAGGTCGGTGGGAAGACAATTCCTATGTGCTGCATTATGATCACATAGTAACATAAAGGTTGTAACTGGCAGTAAAGTTATTCTATTAACTAGTAACTATATAGTCATATCAAATAGACAAGGATTTCACATTATGCAATTTAGACTTTTTTCCAGAGCTGTATCAGTTACTGCTGTATAGAAAATATATTGATTGTATACCATTTGCATTTTCATCTGTCTTTATAACTTTTAAAACAAGTTAACTGATGATACAAATTATTAGTCAAATGTGATAAGCTGTGATATGTATGCCCTTTTCTGTGTGATTTAGTAAGTCTTCACGTGGAACATAATTTGTCTTATTTATGTCGTCAACAATATTCAACACGATACAATTCACAATTCTGGAGTCAGATAAATACAAATAGCAAAACTAACTTAACTTACGTTTGTCTTCTAAATTTTATAGCATCCCAAGGAATTACGAGTTCTGAGTTGTACATGTTTAGTAATTTAGAGCAGGCTGTTGCTTGAGTCTTCAACTCCATCAACAAGCAGCTTAAAAACCACTCAGCCCCTATTGGTTTATGGTTGACTGTGTCTGAATGTGCTATCTTTGCTCATTTTCTAAATACTGATTATCCAGTACATTTTGTTTCCGTACTAAAAATTAGGAGAAAAACTAGTTGTCTGTGGTATCCAGGAACAGTATCTATCCTACACTCTATCCAGCTATTTAGCTACAGACTGCATTGCTTTAGTGGCTTGTGAGTGTGCACAGGGGCACTAGCAGCAGTACATTTGCCACCGAACCTTTTTTTAAATAGAAAAACGGTTTGGTAAGAATGTGCCCAGTAAGAGACCACACTGGAGAGGAACACTGAAAAAAATGCACTCTGGCATCTTCTGCTGACATTGCAAATGAGGCAGCTCTTGAATCATGTACCATTTTTGTCTTGTGTGTAAAAAAAAAAAAAAATACTATGCCAAGCAGAAAATTGGATTGAACAGTAGCCAGTTTAGATAATTCCCAGAGGCACAGATAGGAGTGCGTGCACATTCATTTCATTTTGAACACAACTCCCCCCTGCCCCTCCACTCTGAAGCTCATACCTTAATATTCTGATTTCATCTGTGTTGGTTATTTGTGCAACCCTTTGTATTTCAAGAAGCTAAATTTGAATAGCCACCACATGCTTCTGTGACACTTTGGAATGCTTTATCTGAGCAAATATATGTCATGGAATCACAATAACAATTCCTGTCTTATTTCATTTCTTTTCTATTCTAGAGGCAATATTACCCAGTCATGTCTTAATCCAGTTTTAATCTATGAACATTAATTATATTGTATAAGTATGTCCCCACCATTTATATTAGAATGCTGTTAGCCAATACAAGTGTAATAACTTAGTGTTAAACACGAAACCTTTTTTTAAAAATTAGAAATCTATGATTAACTAACTGAACTGTAATATAAAACACATACCATATATACTCACATATAAGCCCATCCGTGGATAACCTCAAATATTTAACCAAAATACCATGAAAAATGTGCCACTTGTGGATAAGCCAGCCCACATTTTTTGTGGTACTAAAAATCTGAGAGTCTGCTTAGCCATAGATGGTCTTACATGCGAGTATATACAAGTACTTTTAAAAAGTATTACTGTAAATACTCGCAGATAAGACCATCTGTGGATAAGCCGAACCCAACTTTTTAGGTGTATTTTGGTACTAAAATTCTTGGCTTATCTGCGAGCATGTACAGTGCAGATTTTTTTAAAACTCTGAGACCATGAATTTGAGTTGACAAGTATCAAAACTGAACAGTATTCATAGTCCAACTGTAACACACACTATACAATTTGACGTACTATATTATAGAATAAGTGAAAAGCAATGATGTTATTGCCAAGTTTAAAAGCTCATTAAGAATCAGAAATTGTTGATATATTGCAAATTATGTGGTGTTTTAAGTGTGAATTTCAGCATATAAATGCATTCCGATTCACTTCAGATTCAGGAGATGTGAATTGGTTAAATTCAGTTACAATTTTGGACTACCTGAATTTCCTCCTTTGCCCAGGCCCCAAGTTACTTAGACTCAGCACTTTGAACTAACACTGAAATGGACATTTAATGAAGCAGGTAACGACAACAAAAAAGAGTTCATTTAATCAAGAAATGAGCCCCAGTTGGAACTCTAGCTGCTATTTTGTATCAAGTATTTTTCAAACATAGTCCCATATCACGCAGATTAGATATACCATCTTCAGAAATGGACCTCATCTCTTAACCTGAGCAAACATAGTCTAGCCAAAAGTACAGCCTAAATATCCTGAAGTATAGGGACTGTCCATAAGCAGCTGTTGAGTGCTTATCTGATTCTTTTTAAAGAGAGGTACAGTGCCACTCAAAGTATGCAGGACTCTTCAACAACGCAAATGAGTAAGAGAATTCTGTATGGTTGGTACTGAATTTCAATCTACTGACATCCATCTTATTACTGATCTCAGATACAAATTCAGAATCTCTCATTAAAAGGAGAGGAGAGAACAAATAAAAAGATGAGAGTGACACCATTTTATGGATGACATCAACTACCAAATCTTGGATAATTTCATCAATTTTTTTCTGAACTGATGTGAAACACTATGGGGGACAAAAAAGATACACTACAGGCTAAAACTGAAGATACTGTGAAGTCCTCAGCAATTATTTTCTGAAACTATCATTCAGGAGGAACTAAAAAGACCAAGAAGCATTTTTCCAAAGGCCATTTTGGTTTGAAAGATGAGAAGGATATTGGTTATTACTACTGAAAGTCATGAAGATGGCTAGCAAAACGAGGTATCAAGCATGCATAAACTGTTTTAAAATGTTCAGAGACAAAATTAAATAGAAATCTTTACAGCTCTACTATTAGCACTAATATAAGAATTATGTGATTTGTAAAGCAAAAATGAGCATATACATCCACAGCAGTTTCTAATATAACTGATTTCCTCAATTTTTTAATGGAAATTCAGGTGATTATTTGATAATTATATCTTTAGAATGTAACACACAATTACTAAGTATGTACAATGCATATATAAAAAGGGTTGGTTTATTGTAGTTCAAATACATAAACTGAACAATCCCAACATTTCAAAATTAAACTATAGAAACACAAGTTTAACATTCAAAACAGAAACATAGTTTACAAGAAATATCCAGAAAGAAAATCCATATTCTAATCCAAAGCTGATAAGAGATATTTTAATGGTAAATAAAAAGTGTTTTTGTACAACCGTGCTATCCTGGCAATTTTTTTTCCCCTCTGCACTTTCATTTTAGAGCAAAACATTACCAAGCTACCAGGCAAAGCCACTTGATTGTGCCTAACCAGCGGGAGCAGGGGGAGGGGGGAGGAATCAAGGCAGGCTTGTGAACTGGATTAAATGGTGTTTATTTAATTTGGTCACTGCAAGGTTTATTTTCCTCTCATGCTGGACTGGACATTAATGGAGTTAATCCTGATTTATGCAGGAAAAGCCACACATGAGTAAAGTATTAGGCCCTATATTTTCAGGTTCACGAAAGGGCAATATCTCACTGCAGTCTTCAACACTCCACAGATTAATCCTCAGAGTGCATGACCTTGGCTCTCCCATTAGGACATGTGGGGTACTTTTGCAGTTCTCAACTTCAAGCCATATATCAATCTTCCCATTGCTTTGACATGTAACACTGTCGAGAAGAACACCTCCAAATGCTACCAACATCCAAACCTTGTACACAGATACTGTATTGTTCTAGGATTGAAAAATCACTGGAAATAGCTGCATGGTTAGAATATTTGTCAGTCATGCAACAAAGAGAAAAAGCATAAATAATGCAAATATTCTCTCTGTACAGAGACTGCTTAATGTTCATAAATGCTGCTTCCTGGATGGTTTTGCAATAGGTTCATGGTAATGTATATGATTAGACCTGACAGATGGCTCATGCAATTTTCTTGATTTAACATAAATCTTTTGTTCAAGAATATTTATAATTATTTTGTTGTTCGCCTTGTAGGCTCTGAAGCTGTGGGAGGTGGAGGGGGACCTCTGCGATCTAAGTCATCAACATAGGATACGATGAGTTTTCGTCTTTCCTCTGGCACACAGTCTAGTACCAGATAACGTTTGTCATTCTGTAATATCTTTTCTATGTCTTTCAGGTGTTGGTCAGATTCCTGGATTAACTTTTTGGATCTGCAATTAAGTGTAAAGGTTATCATTATCATCAAATGACTGGATGCTACATAGATGAACTAGAATTTTGGTAATAATACTTGTGAACAGGCATCCAATAACAATTCCACCCCACAAAATAGATCTCTCTGGATTTTCACTTAGGTAGGACAAATGATGACAAAGACACAGTGTCTGGGCTATCCTCTCACCTAAAAGATTACCCCTTCAGACTAGAAGTAAGGCAAAGTATTAGGAGGGTAGGAGGGTAAAAAAAAATTGCACTACTATTGCCTATGCTCTATATGTTTAAAATCAGCACTAATTTAAACTGCAAAAATGTAAATAAGAAATATGAATATTTGTCAGATTGTAACCAAACAACACGTGTAGAAAATGTATTCCCATATCCTAGTGGCAGTCAAGCCATTTGACAGAGTAGCGAACTGCAAACAAACAGGCCACTCTTTAGGATCAGATTAACCTCATTCATAATTAGGTGACATTAGGTTGATTTTTAGGACTGCTGATCTCTTAGACATGGATCAAAATGAAAGCAAGAGGAGGGGAAAGGCTGTTCTGTTAATTCTGGTGTATAATTTCTCTTGAGAAAGAGTCTGCATAGTGCCACACCATGATGTCACAACAGAGGCTTAAGAAAGAACCTCAATAATTGAAGAAACTCTGTGGGTTTGGGGCCATTTTTCACTTATAAGACCGCTCTTCAGGAAGCAGTACTTCTAGATCTAATTCAGTGGTCATATGTAAAATATTTGCTTTTTCTCTTTCATTAAGAAATAACTACATATTATGTACGTAGCTGAATACATATTCCTAAATTTTTGTATAATGAAAAATAATTTAGTCCTTATACAGGTAGTCCTTGCTTATTGACTGTTTGGTTAACAACGGTTTGAAATTATGACAGCCTTGGAAAAGGTGCTTTACAGCCTGTAAAGTACTTCCAGCCATTGTAAAACGTCGCACTGCCCCCAAACGGTTACATGGCCGCATTTCAAAATCCTTCAGCAGATAGCTCTTTCACTCCATCTGCTTAATGACCCAGGACGTTGTTTAACGACAGCAACCGGGAGTGCCTGGATTGCAGTCATTGAGTGAAGCAGTCACATGGGCATCTCGTTTAACAACCACTTCGCTCAGTGACTGAGATTCTGGTCCCAATTGTGGTCATTAGGCAAGGACTACCTGTAATATCAGATAATCTAAAATGTACACAGGTATCCTCGATTTACAACCATTCGTTTAGCGACAGTTCAAAGTTATGACAGTGCTTAAAAAAATGACTTACAACCATCCTCACACTTATGATTGTCGCAGCGTCCCCACAGTCACATGATCAAAATTGAGGTGCTTGGCAACCGGCATGTAGTGGCTGCAGTGTCCCCAGGTCATGTGACTGATATTTGTGACCTTCCCAGCCAGCTTCTGACAAGCAAAATCAATGGGGAACTGCGTAATTCACTTAATGACCACAGTGATTTTCTTAATGACCGCTAGAAAAATGTCATAAAATCAGTGTGGCTACACTGCCTCACTTAATGACCGTACTGCTTAACGATGAATTTTCTGGTCCCTATTGTGGTTGTAAGTCAAGGACTACCTGTACATAATTTCTAAAGATATCAATCTTGAACACTACCAAAGTAGTACCCAACTCATAATCTGGCACATCTGTAATTTTTGGAAAAGAAGGTAACCCAAAATTCCTGTTTCCTAAATCTACAATATTAACTAAATATAACCCCATATTAGTCATTAAGATAAAAATGATGCAAAAATGAATAAAAAAAACATTTGTGTACTGTATTTTATAGCATACCTGTATGTTATAAATTTGGTCTCTTTCAAAAGTGTTCTGAAATCAGCTTTGGCTGTAATATATTTGTCTCTGATATATTCTTCAAACTCCCTTTGCTTTTTCTGTATTTAAAGAAATAAAAATAATCACTAGAAATTTCTGCCAGATGTTATATGTTCTTCTTGAGGAGAGAACACATAATAAAAAGGAGGTTATTACATTTAGTTTTAAACTGAAAGATAAAAAGCCAAAGCAAACCAGTACAAAGTTTCTTACCCTGTCACTGGAAGAGAATTTAATGCACCTGGGATCTTCTTTAATTATCTTCTTTACTTCTTTCCATGTTGATGTTAAGGTAATCTTTTAAAGAAAAAACACACAGAAATATTGCAGACTTAATGTATGATTGCAGAATCTACATTTGGACTGCACAGGGACATGAATGAAGCAATTATCCACAATTTAAAGCAGCTGCATCCCCACCCATCCCCAATCACAAACCTGTCATACAATCCCAAGAAAAGGCACGCTACTTTAAAGAGTTGCACACAGGTGCTTTCCAAACCCTTTTAGACTTGAGTCTAAACTTAGCACATCCCTAGTCACTAAGAGACCATGCTCAATGAATGGGCCCTGACTATGGTGACACAAAAATAGAATATTTAAATAGTGCCATGTAGAGGCTGGCTTCCACTGCATGGCTTTTACACACATAGATATGTGCTGTCTGTTTTATTGCCCGATACTCCCTTTCTGTCTCTCCTCATTCTTTCATTGGTGGAAAAGCACAGATGGTTCTGTTTCATACAGAGAAGAAGGAAGGATTTACAGAGGTACTATTGAAGCTCACAAATCTATGCATCAGGTAATTGTTATAACATTTTGTTGCATATTTGAGCTGAATTTTGTTTTACTGTCCAAGCCTTTTTAAAAGGATGAGAATCTGAGATAATTTATTAACAGTATTTAAAATAAATAAAATGTGAGGCATTTACCTTGGTACAATTTATATTAGTATATGCCACTGCACCTATTGGTAAGTTGTTTTAAGTATATCGATACATACAGGATCAAATCTATTCCCTCTCTTGCCAGTGAATGGTTTCATACATTCCTGAGATCTCCAGCCCTTAAAACACTAAAAGGGAACAAAAAAATGTTTACACAAATCCCTTAACTACCTTTTTCCTCTAGAAGTAGAAGTACAGTATAGTGGGCCTGCTCTAATCTATCAGAAATGGTTTCCAGATTTTGTGAATCTTAAAATAATGGTGAATTGGAGGATACTAATTTATCTGAAGAACAATTTCATTAAGATATAAATATAAATTGAGAAACATCTAAGGAACCACAAAATTATGACATTAAAGTCCAGGGGAAAATGTAGAACATATCAGCCTTACTGATGAAGTTTCATCTAGAAGTTGCCGGAAATGTTCTTTCTTCTTCTTTGTAAGTGCTTCAATGTGTTCATTAAAAAGTTTTTCCTTCTCTTCTCTTTCCAGAAGGGAGCCAGATTCCCAACGATGGTCTTTTCGGAGTGTCCTCCTTGTATCAGACCATGACACATCTGAAGATCGCACCTAGCAGAGGAAAACAATATTTTTTTTTGCTACCATACACTGAAAGCGTAGATACTATACACTACAGCAACAGCCAATCTAGATCCCCCCGGCAGACATGCTATGCAATTTAGGAATTCATGTTCACACCAGTGTTGCCAGCACTTCAAACATTACTTTCAGTTAGAAATACACAACCAATTTTAACACAGAGAAACCTCACCATATCAGATAAGAGAGCTTTGAAATTCTGGATAGCCTCTTCTCGTTTGTGCTGTTCTCGTTCTCTATCAATTTCTTTTGTCTGCTCTGAACGAGCTTTTTGAACTTCTCTCTCTCGTTCACGCAAGCTTGCTTCAATTCGTGCTTGTCTTTCCAGTTCTTTTTCTTTTTCAGAGTCTACATTCTGAAATGGAATCCAAAGCACACATACTGCGTTCATATTAGGCTAGTAGGTAAAAATACTAACAAAAGTGAATTCAAGGAATAAAAGTAATATACTTAAAATATGATCCACAATGAGAGAATGTGTTGGGTCTTCTACACAGTCATTTTATTTTCTGACTTACAGACAAATAAACAGAAAAAACTCTATCATTAACATACAGTAGAGTCTCGCTTATCCGACATAAAGGGGCCGGCAGAACGTCGGATAACCGAAAATGTCGGATAATACACAGTAACGATTGAGTGCGGTAAAAAAACAAAAAAAACACAAACTGCTGCGCCTATTGCAATCGATTTTTGCGTTGCGGCGCCACCATCAGGAGCAACAAGAAAGTACACTCACGCTCGCAAACAAGCGTCACACTTTTCTCGTCGCCGATTTATGCGTGTTGTGTTTTTTTTAGGGGCGCCGGATAAGACAGAATGTCGGATAAGCGAAGGTCAGTTAAACGAGACTCTACTGTACTAAACTGATATAAATATATCAGATAGTCATTTAATATTTAATAACAATACATCAAAATATGCATAATCTTCTATATAACAGCTAGATAAACTAAAAATACCATTTGCAAGTTTAAATTGACGAAAGACATTGTCTGTAAAATTACAATAGTTGATCTTATTTGTAGCATGTATAAACAGAAGACAAATTATGGCTGAGACTCAAAGAACTGCATTAAAAGTTCTATGTACTCAAAGGTCCTCTGGACTTTGAAACTAAATAGCTTTCTATGCCAAACTATCTCTGAAACACTCAAGAGCTGTTGTAATACAGAATTATTACTGAACTTTTAGAGAGATGTGCTAAAAACTGCATCTGGTATAATCAAGCATTTTGAGAATCCTAAATCCATGACTTAGGAACCATTTATTCCACCAAAGCAGATAAATAACTGTAAATTGTCTAACGCATGTAAGACAATACTGAGATTGTAGTTCAGGCTGAGGTAGGTAGAAAATACTGTCATATACATACATTTCTGAAGCAGGCATATGTACAGCATCACCTCATAAAAATGAGAACAAGTAAATGAAAAATGATATGAAGACTGGGAGATACCCAAAAACCATTCTCAATCACAACTGAACATGCAACTTACACTGCAAGCCACAAAATTATACAGGAGAACTACAGTATACATAGATCAATAAATGATGCACCTTGGCATTAAAAGTTAAGTCATAGTCTGAAGAAGCAGGGTTTTCTAAATAGGAGGACCCAAACTCTAGAACTGTTTCTAGAGGAAGCACTAGGCCGCATAATTGATGGCATTCAGGGCACAATGCTTAGGATGAAGATCTTCAGCTGCTGGACCACTGACCAGGTATCACAGAATTTTTTGTTTAAATTGCTTCAGAAATTATTCTGACATGTTTTATAATTACTGTAACCTTGCAGAATTTATTGAGCTGACTGTTCAAAACTATAAATACAATTTTCAGGGCTTAACTCAAAGACTTTTGTAGAAAGTATTAGTGTATAAATAAATCCTTGGCTCACCGCTATGAGACTTGGGCAGAGATCTCCCTCTATACATGCCCACAAATATTTCTAACTATTATTTTATACTTTCAGAATGCATTCTTTGAGATTGTTACTCTAGCAAAAATAAGATAAAAACACTAGTCTGAGAATATAAACAATGCTTACCACTAATAAATTGAATTTTAAAAACAGCATTCCAGAAAATAGTACTTCAAATTCTATACCAATTGATCCAACAGTGAAATACTAAGAAAATGGAAACAGTGTTGTCACGGGCACACATACTTTGGCTATTTTTTCAATATACTGTTTAAAAAGATCCTCCCTTTGCGAAGAGCTATCCACAGCTTTGTAGCGAGGGTCAGTCTCTACTTTGTCCTTCACTTTACTCCAGCGAGACTGACTGTCCAAGTGGTGATTAGATAACAGTTCAAAGAAGTCCATTTTAATCTATGATTTTAAACAAAAGACAAAAGAAAAAGGGGAGGAAAATAGGGTCACTTTGCTTTCCAATTATTCCCAAAATAATAAAAAAAGCAACAGACTTACCGCAATGAAAAAATTAATTAGAAGCTGAGTACTGTCATTATAGTTTTAAGGAACAGTAATAATGGTTATATTTACATGTATGTCAAAGAGCTGCTTCAATACTAGTAGATTTCTTGACAAGTTTATACTATGCTGGTACACCCTACTATTCTGTTTTAGCAATGGTACAAAAATGCACAAACAAGCCAAGCCTGTTGGGCCAATCTATATAATTACTGAAATAGCCCTCCATGTGCATGATCAGAATGAATACATGTAACAACTTTCCGCAATCGGGATATCGTTCAGATAAGTGGAGTTAAGCTCTCACAATTTTATGGCCACTGCTGAGAACAGTGGGAGTTTAACTCTACTAATCTGGATAATTGTAATTTTTAATAAAATTACTATAAAAAATAACTACTAATCTGGAAGGTGCCTATGCTGGGGAAGGCTGATATAAGTAAACCATGTAATGAAAATATACAAATAAGTATAATTGTGCATTCTTCCTCTTTAAAGAAGTACAGGGAATGCTGTATGATTGTCCACACTTGTACTGAGTTTCTGGATTCTAAAATACATGTGCAAACTGTACTTTTGGATTTCAGCTACTGTTATCATCGTTTCACAAAAGCAATGTTTGGTGGGCTGCCTTGGTTTATTACTGTATTTTTAAATACTGCATTCACTGAGCTTCTGGTTTAAGGAGTAAAGCATCAAAGTTTATGTATGTGAAATAAATTAGTAGGTTAATTCTAGTTCTTTCAAATCATTAGGGATAATAGAAGCTGGACACTGGTTTTAAAAATCTGTACAAAGGTTACAGCTAAATTTCACTGAAGATAGCAAGACAATATGTGGTTATCTGATTGAAGCCAAAATTAAAAACAACATAGGTATACTTCTATTCTATTAGAATTTGATAGATTAATAATGTATTTGCTTTAATATGGACTTGTCATAATTTTTAAAGAAAATACAGGAAATTATGACACCTTTTTATTTAGTACATAACTAGAAATCAGTAGATACATAGCAGAATTCAGTCTACACTAAAGTGTTTCATAAAACAATTATTCTGTGAACAAATATAGGTGTTCTTCTCTCCTATCCCACACCCTGAGAACTCAAGGATTTTCTTCCACAGAGGTGCTTGCAAACTTTTGGTGTATGTGCATGTGTATTTATGTATATATACATATATCTATATATACAAACATACACACACACAGATACATAACAGATGCTTGTAATACATCCACAGAACTCAGCTTTTTATTATAATCTATCTGAATCAATGCATTATGGGTGCAGAAATTTTAATTGCACTAGAGCAAAGCAATCTCTTTTAGTGCATTGTAACTCATACAGTACAATTGCTAAACCACTTGAAGTGCTTCACACAAATAGCTTATCATGTGAGAAATGATATTCCCACATAATAAAAACCATGATCCATGGGACAGAGCCTTTTAGTGAACTCAGTAATTTTATCTTGTTAATTAGCAATGGTCATCTTTCAGAACATTCACATATTTTTTGGTACCAGAGAGAAAAGATCTTATCCTAGCCTCTAGATTCAACGAATTAGCCTGACTAGATTGTATATTTCTAAATCTCCCATACATCCAAGATCATACAGGGAAATGGTGATAATGGAAAACTCAATTTTTAATGTGTTGTAACAACTTTCCTCATTGTAGTGCCCTCTAGATTTACTGGGCTTTAATTTCCAGTATTTTCAACCACCATGACCAATGACCATGCTGATTAGGAATGCTGAAATTGTAGTCCAGTACATCCAGAGGTGCAAGGCTGGAGAAAGGCACATTAAGAAAACCAAATCTTATGCACTTAAGTGCACATTATTACAGCTTTATGCACCTTCACAGCCAATTAAAATTTGCATTTGTGATTCCTTTTATCATTAATTATGTCTATATAAAGGGCATAATACTAACAGTCTGTTGATATTCCTCAATATTGGCATTTGGTTCTTGGCATAGTACTGACATACTAGTACATCAATTAATTTTTTGCAGTAGAAAATCAAATTGCAATAGAAAATAAATGCCTTGTATCAGCAATTTGGTAAATTGTCCATCAATTGCAGAAGTATGTAATATTATTAAGAAGGTTTGCAACATCCTTATTTTTTTTTAAAAAAACTTGGCTTGGGTCCAGAGATGTCTTGCTTTTTCATTTGTGTTAGGCAGCCTTATTTACTGTTCCTGATTTCACTGTCCTACTGTAGCATTGGGAATCTATCACACAGAACTGGAAAGGATCCCTTGATCCTCAGAATCAGTTTTTAGATAGGGCACACAGTGCTATAATGGGAAGGAGAAACCAGGAAAGTGTCGTATCAACAAAGTTCCACTTTTCTCTCTCTGGATCCAACACAGTATCTATTATTTCAAAGATGAACTTAAACATAATAGGCAAGTAGTATTGAAATATAAAGCTTTCTAAGCCAGATGTAAGAAAATTACAGTTCTGTCCCTATCTTTAAAATAAGGATAACTGAACTGGCACACTAATGAATAAATGCTATTTCTCTTATTTCTTTTTATATAAGCTGTTGGGCTTACTTGTCAGTAGTCAAGTCAAAATTAAATTGGGAGATCATTTTAGAAAGACTTGGGATATTACAACTATAAAGTAAATCTTGTCCATCATCCAGCATGTATCCCTATTTCTATAGAAACCAGAAACTCTCATCTTCTATCCTGAAAGCTAGCATGTGCTATTTTTGTGACCCCTGCAAAAGGGGGGAAGGTAAAAGGGTTAAAAGCACTCTTACATCTAATAAAGGAAATCAATTCTGACAACTAATATTTTAATTTAATATCATTGTTAAGAGTACACAAGATTTTTAGTTTTGTGCAGATGTTATTTAAAAGCTGTTCAACTAAGATTCAAGGAAGAACAAAGCAGAAATAGAAAATCCCACATAGATACACACACTCCTGGTCAGGGAAGAGAAGCTAATTGTTTCAAATCAAAAGGATAGGCTACGGAATTGTTTAAGCAGGTACTAATCTGGTAACCCTTTAGAGTCATTCCTTACTTTAAATAAGAGTATAAAGGTCAGGCATTTTTTGAGCTGTATAATGGTGTGGATGTGTTATAATAATGATGATGGTGATGCAATCTTTGCTTTTTCCACATTAAATCTTAATGTTTGCTGGAAAGGTAAAGATGCTTCTAGGATATCTGAGGAGCACCTCATTGCTGCCTTCCCCCTCCCCCCCTCTACAAGCAATGTGCAAATCTTCTTTCATATAAACCAAAACCTATGGTTAAGCAACAGAAACTTTCAATGGACCATCTTCAATCTATTTCAGCATAAAAATCTGACTGCATCATAGGCTTAGTAAACTCAGACTATTTTCTTTCTTTAATCTCTAATTTATTTTCTTTAATCTGAATTAGAGAAACAGAATTAGAAAATGCCAATAAGCAATTAATCAAAGTGTGCTATTTCCAATCCTTACTTTAAAGGGTTAATGGGGAAATCATGCAATAAACCTCTTTTCTGATAAACTGGCTGAGAAAGCTTCACAACATTGTGGGGCACATTTCTTGTTAACATTTAGTTATTCTTTGTAAAATAAGAAAAGCAAGGCAGAAAATACTGTGTGTATTTAGGAGGACTGTTCTTTTTTTTTTTTTTTTTTTTTTTTTTTTTTTTTTTTTTTTTTTTTTTTTTTTTTTTTTTTTTTTTTTTTTTTTTTTTTTTTTTTTTTTTTTTTTTTTTTTTTTTTTTTTTTTTTTTTTTTTTTTTTTTTTTTTTTTTTTTTTTTTTTTTTTTTTTTTTTTTTTTTTTTTTTTTTTTGGCAGTTTACACATTCTGGGTACAACTCTCATCACTTCACAAGGAAAAAAACTGAAAAAAATGTAAAGTACCGGAACTGCGGGAGGCTAAAGTCACCACACAGAGATACCAATTCTTTCCTCACTAGGGAATCCCATAATACTTTGCGTGTCAGTGATTGACAGCTGTCAGACTGAACTGATTGACAGGCCGCACAGCACAAAACTGTAAAATCTATCCACTTGTTACAAAACAGAATACATAAAATGGTTACAAGAGGTTTTGGGAGAAAAGAAATAATTAGTTTCAAATACAAAGATAAATGCAATATTTAACACAAAATCTTACTGATGTAGTTCATGCAATATTAAAGAATTTATTGATGATTATGGCTAAGATGCAACAATAATTTTTAAACCATAACTACAGAATAAAACAAACAGTTTAGGTTGAAGTTTCAGGTTTCACATATTCACCTCTAGACAGCTGATCACTTTGGTGTTGCATGAAGACTAATTGCTATATCTAACATTATTCAAGGGAATGATCACTGGACATTCCTGTTTTCTTGCTTTCCACCCACCTGCAGCTCTCCATGTGTTCCCTCCATACATGAGAGGGCTCCCCAACTCTTCAGACCAGAGTGAGGGGAGTGCAAGAGGAAAAGAGAGTCCATTGTTTCAGTTGATGGATACTGACAATAATATATATCAACAGTAAAGCAAATCCTGACTATGTTCAACAGATCTTACTCCTAGATATGTGGGTGTAGGACTGAAGACAGCAATGCATCAGGAAATTCCCAGTTTAAATCTCACAACTCCCATAAACTAACCAAGAAGCCTTAAGCTAGTCATTCTTACCCTGAGTTCCTTATTTGCAATATGGTAATAACGGTACTTACATATCCACTTTATAGGGGTGAACTGCAGTACGATGTATAGAGCACTTCTGAACAATAGGCACAGTAGGAATAACAATTACAGTAATAGCAGCAAATAAAGAGAACGAACTACCAACCACTATGAAATTTATTTAAGATCTATAAGAAAAATATCTGATTTTTTTAAAAGTTGAAAACAGCATGCTGTCATTTTAACTTATGTTTATGAATGACAGCTTTTGGATGAAATATCACATGCCTTTTTGTTAGCAAGAACTTATATTAATTTCATTTATAGGCTAGGTTTAGATATGTTTTTCCTTCATTCGCTGAGCTAGCTGGGGTACTAAAGAAAGCTTCTACATATTTTAATGTTAATACTGTTGAAAACATTCATGCATCTGCCTTCCCCAGTGATATGCACTTTGTCTCTTGAACTGACAGTGCAGACAAATGACATTTGGAATTCATTAATTTTTGATAGGTGACCTTTAATTTTGATAACTAGTCAAACTAAAATATATTTAGTGGAAGATTTAAAAAAAAAAGAACAGTAAAATATTATCCTTTAGGCAGAAAGCCATTTAAAATCTGCCCGCAAGGAGGTTTCAAAATCTTATTCACATAACTAGAAGATTTGGTTACCAGTGGTCTGATCAGAGTTTTCCAGCAAGACACATCTTTACCCCCAACATTTTAAAACTAAGTTCTTGATTCTGGGTGGAGGGGGCAAAATACTACATCTTCTAGAAAATGATATTCATTCTGAGTTTAGATACAAAATTATGAGGCCAAAAGGCAGAGGAAAGTAGTGGGAATGCAATGGGAAGCTGGAAATCTAGCATAGGTCCCTTTGCCTCATTCATATTGCTTTTATGATCTTCATATAAAAATCTTACCTTCTCTCCTCTGGTCTTCGAATCTTCTTTTTCCTTCTTTCTTGCTGCTGTGATAAATTCATTAAACAAGGCCTCTCGGTCTTTCATTTTTTCAATTGCTTTGAAACGTGAATCTTTAGCATGCTTGGCTGCAAATTCACTAAAAGTAGTTCTGTAAGAAATGGTAAGTGTGCTGATTTGGCAGAGCTTTCTTAACTGGAAAAGGCATTCTAAACACATTTGTGTTCTGCTACAAAGTATGTGCTAAACACAATTACATAATTATCTTCCCTCCAGATGTATGTCCAAGAAGTAAAATATTTATTTTCATGAAAAAAGGGGAGCCTTGCAGATTTTGATTTGTAAGAAGTATAAAATTTCCAGCAACAGTACAATCCTTGTTGAATGTAAATTCATTATCAATCAGCCCTGATAATTCAAGGTTATGAATTATGAAGTTAACAGTTACTCATTTGCCATCCAATTGTACCAGGTGTGAAATTACGTGGCAAAAAAAATAATTTTTGTTTAGAACTAACGTGATCAAGGACAGCAGTATCTGCCATGCTTTACACTTTCTCTTCTTGTAGTTTTACTACAAGATACTCTCACCTTCAGGGCCAGATTCCAAATTGCAGATGTGCAGTAGGTATAATGCTGCAGTAGATATAATACTGCCACTTACCTTGAAAAAAAAAAAACATTATTGTGCTTTTTCCAAGATCTGATGCTAATCTGACCCCAAGATTACGTGAGACATTATAATCCTATGAATGTTTTCATCACAGCATGGAAATAATTAGACTTGGGAAATCCCGCCTACTGTTGCTGTAGGGTAAATTAAAACAAGAGAAGAATTTGGCAGCTTATTCTATTATTTAGAAGTGAACTTAAGCCTATGCTAAAGAAAGTGACCTGCAAAAACAAGGCTGGGCATAAATTTGTAAGCACAAGTACAGAGATGACTTCCAAGTAATGCAAATGTCCAAAAGGGCACCATCATTACCTTGAACAAAAAGGGGGGGGGGGGAAGGTAAACTAAAATGATAAGACATGCAGAAATTATCTTTCTTACTTACTGATGATCAAAACCAAACAATAAGCATGTAGTAATAGATTTGATTCAAACTACCTGCTAATGAGATTCTCCTACTGGAAGAAGGTGACATTTCCTTATTTTTCCTCTTTCCAGCAGCAACCTCCCCTTGATTTGGGCCCTTCCATCAAGGAAAGAAGCCTTTCTATTCACAAAAGGATAAATTAGAGCTAACCTTATGATTTCTATACCCTTTGAAATACAAAAGGCAATTTGGAATTACCGAGATTAAATTAGGAAAAAGGGCAACAATATTAAAACAATTACATTCAAATTCAGTACTGCAGCTATTCCAAATATTATATTATTTTATTGTATTCTGGAACTTCAATGCAAATATATGCTTTCTGATTCAAAATTCAGCTCATCTGTGTTCAGTGGAGCTTAATCCCAAATAACTGTATTAAGGATCACAAGCCTAATCAGACAGGTCTTTGAGGATATCAAATCAATTCAAGCAAAATAAACATAACTGAAAATAAACTTGCTTTTCCAGTAGACAGCACAGAACTAAACCAATTAAGAATACAAACTAAATCCTATCCAGTTCAGCTAAAATAAAATTGAACAGTTCTCACATTAACAATAAATGACTATAGCCAAGTAGCTGAATGTCCACATAAGGGTTTCCCTTTGTTGACAATGGGATGGCAAAAGGATCCAGGACCATAGTTTGTTGAAGTAGGTCAAATAGCTTTTTAAAATACTGCTAGGTATCACAAGCAGTTCCTGTAAGGTATTCAGTGTTAATACTGTAAAATAAGTGCAAGTCCTACATTACATCATATATTTTCTATATAAGGGTTGTCAATGATTAGCCAAAACTAGGAAATATTACAAGCAGTCAGGACTCCATCATTTTCTGAAATAGCCTACAAGAGTTCAGGTTAAAATAAAATAAAAAATATTGAATATAATACAGAAAAAATCTCAATAAACACAGCAATGTTGTGATAGAACAAAAAACTAGAACTGGGTATCTGATAAAAGGCTTTAATGTCAAAAAAAAAAAAAAAAAAAGGACAAGAAAGATTCTTACCTAGGATTAATCTTTGCTTCTTCCATCATTTTCTTGAAATCTTCTTTGGCCTGCATTATTTTATTTTTCTTTTCTTTACGTTCTTCTTCTGCCCTGGTTTTCACATATTGATCAAATACCTACATAAATAGCAAATATAATTTGGAGCACTATTGCAAAAGAGCAAAGCAAAGACTAGGGTTGCCTATTTGTGATGATCTGACAAAATACCAATGAATATAAAGGCACTAGGGCAGTGAATCTCAAACTCACTGAAATAAATATCTTTCAATAAGAACTTTCACACCAAGCCTTTCTATAAAAAGCAGTCTTACTGCTATTCTTTAACATGACAAATTACAATAACAGAAAGAAACAGACTTAAACAGCTAGAACTCTGAACAGATGTTTGCTTTCAATAAGAAGAATACATGTAAATTTAAGTGTCAGGGAAATCTTCAACTGGTAACAGATTCCAAAGTTAGATGCATGGAATGGTGCTGGTAGAAGCAAACTTTCCCTCCACCTCATGGTAGTTTCTCTAGCCATCTGAAAATGTTAGAGAGATCATGGGACCCTGACCAATGGAGTAGGCTACATGGAAGCAGACAATCTCTAAAAATTGGGCAGAAGCAATTTCTTCTGTAATGTAATAAAATAATTTTAATTGAATACATTTATTCAAAATAAATACTAGGCATCCTTAGCAAACTTGCACAACTACTTCAAATGTTGTCTCCAGTTATCTGTACATAGATACACATGCAGAGACAACACTGCCACTGTCAGTGAATGGAATATGCTCTGAATGCACACACATATGAAGAAAGCTTCAAAGCAGCTGTTCACTATTTGCAAAGGGCACAGCAGCTTTGACACTTCAACAAGAGATGTTTCTTTCGGGCTAATGCACTTGTGAAGCATCTCTTTTCACTGCTTTGCACAGCTATAAGGGATATTATCTCAAAGTTGTAATGAACAGTTTGGGTAAGATAAAGATACATCTATGATGGATCATATGATTTGGCATGGAATACACATATGAAACCACCTTGGTTCAGAGGTGGTTCTATTAAGAACTTTTAAAGTACATATATGTTAGAAGACAGTTTATCCCCCTTTGGAAAGTTTTGCATCTAATTAACTCTAAATAAAATAAATACTCAGCTTCTCTTGTAACCAACGTTTGTTTGGTTTTATTGCTTATTTCTGCAGGTATTAGTTTGGTACATTTTATCTGGAATAAGTATTTCTGGTTTGTAACTACTCAAAGCTGTACATATATAATTTGTTTAAGGATAAAGCTTCTATTTCTCAACCGAAAATGCTGTTTTTACTTTATAGCCTTTCCTCTTTCCTCTACATTATTTAAACTTTGGTCATTTAAAACCTTCCAGATATTAATAAACTGATATCGCAGAAGTCCAATCAAAGAATAAAAAAGTGCACTGTAAAAAGCCTCATATGTTTTCAAACACTTCAACCTTTAACTACACTGACTGTTTTGGTATTTTATAATATGAAAACATAATTTATTTAAAAGACCTTTTTTTACCTGTTTCCTTTCCTTGGGGTTAAGAAGGAGGTACCGGGGATCAAAAACAATTTTGTGTAGCTCTTTTTCCCATGTAGAAAAAGCAGAAACCTTTAAGAAATAAAGTGGGGAAAGTAATGATTTCCCAGGCAATTAAATTCAGGCAAATAGATACAAGTTGTGCAATTCTGCTTGAAATCTACAGGACTTCTATTAGAAAGAAGCTATAGCTGAAATCTTTATAGCAGTTTCATCACTAATAGATGATGAACTGCAGGAAGTCAGCGGGGCAAATTTCCACACTAATTGGCTCTGAAAACTTCTACATAATTACACAGAACTAACACATATCTAATTACTCATTAAAATAACCACTACTGTGTGACATTTAAAAACTGCTATATCAAAAGAAAGCCTTGAAGTTCTGTATTCTGACTTTCTTTGCTTTCATAGGTCTCTGCTGAATGATCAGAAATTCCATTTCCTCCCCATAAATTGAAGGATTCTGCATATAATCAACTCTGTAGCCTGTAAAAGGGAAAAGACTCTGAAAGCTTAATAAATTAGATTCTGACATTTCACACAAAGTGCACCAAAAATAGAAGTTTTCTTACAAATCTGCTTAGCTGATAGGCCAAATATTAGAGTGCATTCAGCTTTCAGTAGGATCTTTTAAAAATGAAACTTAGCCATTAGGAGGCACTTTTTATTTATTCCCTAACTACAAATACTATTGATTAATCAAATAGTGCTAAATGTGTTTTTGACAACAATGATAGGGGTAGATATGAATAACATATTAAATCATTATTTTAGGAGAGTAATATTAATATAGTGAGATTATACTAATGTTCCTCTACTAAGGTAATTGTTTAATATATTATATGAATATGTTTAATATGTTGGTATATGAAAACTCAAATCAGTACAATTATAATCAATCAATCAATCAATCAATCAATCAATCAATATAACGTACCACCATTTGGGGTAGCATGATCTTGCTTGTCCCAAACACCCGAGGAGCCATGTTTTTATAGGCTCCCATAACAAATAACAATTTTAACAAATTGTTAAAATTTTTAAAAACAATAGTTTGGTCTAGTGGTTAAGGCACCTGGCTAGAAACCAGGAAACTCTGAGTTCTAATCCTGCCTTAGGCATGAAAGTTGGCTGGGTGACTTTGGGCCAGTCACTCTCAGCCCAACTCACCTCACAGGGCTGTTGATGTGGGGAAAACAGGAGGAGAAAGGAGTATTAGCTTTGTTCGCCACCTTGAGTTATTTATAAAAAAATAAGAAAGGCGGGATAAAAAAAAAACTAAAAAACAAAACAGAACAGTACAAGAAACACAAAACAAAGAAACAAGATGGCACAGAAAACAAACCCAGATGAGAAAAAGGGAAAGGAAACAAAGGGGCATTAATTGTCCTAATTAAAGGCCTGGGCAAAGAGCAACTTCAGGGCCCTTCAAAATACCAACAGGATGGGGGCCATTTGAATCTAAGGGAGAACCTCATTCCAGAGGGCAGGGCATGTTTTATTAATTTACAGCCCAAGACCAAACCAACAAACATTAAAATAACAGTTAACAATACATATCTACATTAATGAAAGCGGAAAAAAACAGTCAAAACTGTGAGGAAGGCACCAGTTGATTCCTATAAGCTAAAGCTATAGATAAAAATTTTGCCACCACACTGTTATATCTACAAATTGATAGCTTAAAAGGAAAGCAGCGACCTCCTTATTGTGAGGGAGATTAAAATTTCCAATAACTAGAGTTATGAGTTCTGATCGTTCTTGCATATAAAATAGACCCCGTAACAGAACCTGGGATATGGATTCAACTTCTGTATTTAAACATATACAAATACAATTTTCATAGTGGATGTTGAAGTATCTTTCAGTTGTTGTCCAATGGTAACACATGCAACTCCCAACCCTCAGTCTGTTTAGAGGGATACCATGGTTGATATTACTGAAGACTGCTAAGAGGGCAAGCAAGACCAGGATAGTCACACTTCCTCCATTCTGGTCCCATCAAAAGTCATAAATAAGAGTGACCAATGCAGTTTTGATTTCACACTCAGGCCCAAATCCTGACTGAAAAGAATCCAGATTATGTTTCTTTTAGTACTCTCTAACTGTAGTATAATCACTTGCTCAACAACTTTCTCTAAAAAGGGAAGATTGGAGACTAACCCTTTGACTTTACATTATATTAAAGCATATGCCAATTTAATGTATTAAAATGCACCTCATCAACTTAGGAAATGGGTCCTCAATGATTGCATCAACAATGAAATATTTTGAAAAATTCACATATATTTAATCCGAGAATTGTTTCTGACCCCTCTTTCCAGAAGCATGTCCTTGAACTGTTTCATTCGAGCCTCGAGAGGGACAATGGCTCTTTCTCGAGCAGCTTTAATTTCCGCCTCCATGGCAGCCTCCTTTTCTGAGTCAATGTCTTTGTTATCTTCTTTCCTATAAAATGAAAACATGTAGTAGGATTCTATTCATTTATTCATCAAAGTTGTATGTCATCAATTTCATTACAAATCATTTAGAACCAATACTACAATTCAATGTCTGTTCTTCATACTCAGATGACTACTCCTTCATTCTGAGTTCAGAAATAAGAAACAGTTAACTTAGCTTTAAAGTGATAGATAAGCTGATCGTGCGCATTCTTCCTTTTATACAAGAACTTACTTCCGCTTCTTTGCTTTAACAGGCTCATCATCATTGGTTTCTTCTAACATTTCATGCTCTTCTTTTACTGAAAAAGAAGTTCCTATTAATATTCTCTAGACCATCATTCAAATTTACTAGTTATGCCTGACTGATGTCCACATAAAATTTTAAAGAACATATCCCATATTATAATTAAAAGACAGAATACTATTCTATACTGGTATTACAGTATCTCAAAATTCAATATATTTCTTCAGCAACATTCACTTCCAGTTAATGTTTAAAAAGTGTACAACTCTAGCATAACTGCCAAAAGCTATTACTCTTTCCAAGAAAGATTCAAATCGATGAAAGGACCAATTACTGTTTGATATTACATTTGAATTATCATTTGAACAACACAGAACTGTTTTACAAGATAATAGGACTACCAAAAAACCTCAGTGAGAATACTGTAGAAGAAATGAATTTCAGGAAATTAAGGATTAATTAGTAATTAGGCTAATTAATATTTGAATAAAGAAAAGATTGTGGAACATTTTCTAGCCAGTTGTGTTGTTTTCATTCTCACTCCTTCTAACTGAAGGGCAAGAGATATAAGAAACATCCTTCATCAGGGAAAAAATAATGCCTCCCCCCCACCCCAACCCCCCAGCAAGCCATCACAACCAATGTTCTGTGAAATGATTTAAAAAGATATAAACTTCATCTCATATATAGGCAAGTCAATCTTAATATTTAATTCCAATATAGAATCATAGAGCCATAGAACTGAAGGGGATCCTTTAGGCCATTAAGTTGAATCCCTTGCTTACTGTAGACATATGCCTGTTCATATCTAATGAATTCAAATTGATCAGTCCTCTGAATTTATTGATTCTACTATCAAATAGCTCTTACTATTAAGGATTTTCTAAGTAACATTGAGTCAGAATCTGCCTTCTTGAAATCCATTATTTTGTGTATGTTCAGAAATTACAGACAACAGGTCTTGATGCTTTTATGCAACATCTTTTCAGATATTTGAAGAGTGCCATCACATCCTCCCTCACTCTTCTTTTCTCAAGGCTAAACATACCCCTTAACAGAATTTCCTGTGAGATACAGAAATATACTTCTATGAATGAAGGCTAAAATTGCATTTTCCTTTTTGCTGCTACATCCTATGCTACCTCATTATTTGCAACCAACTTCCATTTCTATTTTATTGGGGATGAAACACATAAGAGCTAGTCTGACATACATTGCACAGGTGGTTTTACAGGGAGACAACTGTTCAACATTTGGCTCAAAGGTCTCCAATGTTTTTCTTTCTACCTTTGCTAAAAAAAGTTATTTAGGGAGCTTGAGTTCAGTATGGCCAATATGCAAACACCCAAATATTTATTTTTTCCATCATAATCTAAGGAAGATATTCCGGATGTTCCGGATTAATGTATTTTCCATGATGCAGTGGATGAGAGCAAAGAAAATGAAACTTAATCCAAACATGAAAGACAGGTGTTATTTATATGATTTACAGTTCAAATGTATTTATTTTATTTCTTAATCTGCTTTAGTCATTAATCCACTACTCTTTTGGATAGGGTTGCACATCTCTTCAAGAATCAGGTTTAGTCTTTAGAAATACTTCTGGCTTCACTTCTAAACCTAAGTGTCGATTTTTAGGACTGGCCCAGAGCTCATTTAGTCAGCCAATGTCAACTATGTTTGCTCCTTATACCACAATACAATAATCTATATGGGCTGATTTTGAAGACACTTCAGAAAGTTCTTACACATACTGTAGCAGGCAATTGACTGGGCTACAATTTCTTTGCTAGATTATGATTTCCAGGCACAGGCATAACTGAGAATATTGCTTATAACCTCTAACATCTTAAATGATTTAAGACCAAATTACCTAAAGGACTGTTTTCTCCTGCATGAACCTACTCAGATGTTGAAATCTTCTGAAGAAGATTCTCTATCTTCCCAGCATCTTAAGTGCCTCATATGGAAGATTGGGAAAAGGCATTCTCAGTAGCTACATACTTTATCAAATCGCTCTGCATTTATTTATTATACAATATTTGTAATCTTTCCCAATCTGAAGACTCTGGGCAGTGTATAACCAGTGCAGCAACTTCAAAATCAGTGTTATTCTGCAATGGTGGGGTAGACCCACCAGTACTTTGAACTAGTTGCATTCTAAGTTATCTCCACGACCTATTCCATGTAGAGTGTTACAATAGTCCAAATATGTGATCAACTCAAGAATTACTGTAAGTTAGTAACCAGTTCATCAGCAAAATTTGGGCAAACGCACCCCAGCCATGGGCCTTCACCTGCTGCTTAAGCAGAAGCTGTAAGTCCAGGAGAACTTCCAGATCACAACTAACTTCTTCAGGGGAGTTCAAACCCATCAGGAATAACTGCCAGGACAGTAATATGAAATGTGTATTGATGCGCGGCAACTCAATCCTAGTAGGATTTAATCTGAGCTTGTTTTGCTCCATCCAGACCCTGACAACCTCTAGGCACCTCTTAAGACTTTCTACAGCATCCTTGGTTCTGTCTGGGACAGTGATATAAAACTAAAGGTCATCATCAGCATCCTGACACCACCTTGCTCCAAATTGACAGAAGACCTCTCCCAGTCATTTCATACAGATGTTAAATAACACAGAGTTAGGGTTAAAGCCTATGACACACTGCACTGAAGGGGAGGACTTTTGAGCTGTCCCCTCAACCATTATAGACTAGAACTGCCCACTAATGGAGGAGCAGGACCACCATAAAACAGTACCCCCAACTCTTACATAGTTCTTGCAAGATACCATGGTTAATGGTATCAAACAACACCAAGTGATCTAATAGGACTAAGAGGTCCCTCCATCAAGGTTTTGACAAACCAGGGCAACCAGTGCCATTTCTGTCATAACCTGACAGTGTCTGATAATCTGTTTCTTTTAGAACCCTTTGTAGATGAATCATCACTACTTACTCAACAGATTTCCACAAAAATGGATGACTGACAAGAGAGCAAAGGGCACTGAGTAGGGTGGCTGTTTAATGTAGACTAATTAAATGTATATGTTACTCCTTCCCTCAGAGAAGTTTTAACGATTTCCTGAATCAAGCAACTCATACTATGAAGGAGCCAGAAAGGGCATGGACCCAGTTTACAGATCATTAAACAAATAACCTTATTTAGTCCCCAAAACTGCAGACTGATCACAACTATTTCTAGTCCATATTATATCCCTTCATATCAAATGCAGATTAAAAAAAAGTAACCTGTCAGAAAGCATACTTAAAATTGAACAATAACTGACTTTTAGTCTTACTTTGTTTTTTTCCTTCATCCATTCCTTTTTTATGGGGAGGTTCCTGAATAATTTTATCCACATCCGCTCTTCCTATTAGGTCATCTGGTCGATCCCACATTGATAGTCTAGTGGTAGGGTTATAAAAGAAAACCCGTTCATCACCTGTCCACACCACACACCTAGAAAAAAATTATAATTATAGTATATTATATAATTATTGTAGGATTTGAATATTAACAGTTAATTTTATATTAAAATCAACAAGCAGGAAAACGATTTTCATTTTTATAGACTATATAGAGTAGAGGTAACAGTAATCTTAAATAATTTTTTCTAATAGTAAGTAATGTCTCCTTGAAGTTGAGTTCAACTCCTGGGGACTTTGTGCACTCAGCCATGTAATTTCCTTTCCAGCAAAATGAAAATGGTTTGCCACTGCCTTCTTCTACACCATCACAATCTTTTGATTTGAGAACAAAGGCTACATACCAGGGAGTACCAGGTATAGGTGTAGTAGCAACAGGTTTTGCTTTCTGGGCAGCTTTTTCTTCTTCAGTCATTTCTTCTTCTTTGGGCTCCTGGTGAGAAATATTGTAAAACTGAATAGACTCCAATTATTTAACTGTATTCATACAGTACTAGCAAACTGAGAACAATAACTGTTTTCCTAGTATTGAGATGGGAAACATCTCTCCTACCAGCCTCAACATGTAGTCTGTGAAGCTAAAAGTCCTCTCCTTCTCTGTTACATCTACCAAAAGACATTGTATCAAGGTGCTGCATCTTCATTATATATTTTTAAACTTTTCCACTGGAGAAAGGTGGGGTTGAAGTGAAACAAGAAGTTGAGATGACAGCTTCAAAGTGCAAGTAGCACTCAGGACTGCCTTTCTTCCACTCACATTGAAGGTATGAGGTTTATTGTTTTAGGAAAAGACACCTAAAGTCCAAACACTTAACACTGTCAGCCTACACATTTGTACACTAGTCCTATGCCAGTAGTTACATAAGCTGAAGCATAACTTGTGCAAGATTTAGTGTAAGAAGTCACAAACAAATAAAAAAAGATTGGATTTGATATTTGTGCAAGAACAAAAATGTTTTCACAAACATTACAACCATTTTCTAAACCAGATTAGTTACACCATGCTTAGGCTGAATAAAAATTAAACCCATTTTTAGAAAATAGTAATTTAAATCTAAGCCTTCCTTCCATGAATGGTACAATTTCTTCTAGATCTGGAAGGCTTCAAATCCAGTGCCATATTTCCACAGATGGAACAGAAGTGGCAGCAATCATCACCAATTCACAACTCTTCTGCTGAAGAGTGCTGGAAAGTCTTCCAGAATGCAGCAAATAGAAAATGGTGCTGAAAACTGAAGAAGAAAATCAGCAAAGGTTGACTTCTCTTTTCACATGATCCACAGAGGTTTCTGAATTCTACTTATGGTTTTTCTTAATAACAGATACAAACTCTTAAACTAACCCAGTATTTATTAAATGTAAATGCAATATAAAACCTATAGACTTAGATTTCATAAAATTTCAATCTTTGTCACTTCTACACTTGCAAACTGTTTCACTTTGTTTATTTTTACATTTCAAAATATAATTGGCAAGTTTTCAATATTTAAGGTACTGAATCTATATTTTAAAAAGTATTTCCAATATCTGCAATTGCAATATTTTAGAACAAATCCCAACATTGTTCTTTTGTTTGTTCATATAAGCTATAATATTAAACGCTACTTCTAAAAAGTTTGTAAAATATAAAAACAAACTATGCAGTTAAAGAGTTAGACACCATCTAAAGAAAATGGCAAATAAGTTCAATAAGTTATTTCAAAATGGCATTAGTGTATTTGATTTCACTTTTTATTATTAAAAGAATAAATAAGTTAATTTTATTAAAAGAATAAATTAGTTATAAATTAAATTAATTAATACATATCAAATTAATCTTTAGGTATATCAGATCTTTTACCTCCTTTATAAGTTCCTTGATGGGTTCAATTTTGGGTTCTTCCTCTTCTGTTTCCATAGGCAAAGGATCCTCAGCAGGTTCTTTAATGCTATCTTTCATCTTTTCTTCTACTTTTTCTAAAAAAATGTATAATTTATTTACTTTCCACTTGCTGTATATTCTTTACTTTACTAGTATACATTCAAACTGATTTTCTGAGCAAAATTATTAAAATCAGGTTTTGTAAAACCCTCTCAGCCCCAAGTTAAAGCAATGAAGACTATACTTTTAATAACTAAGAATCTTTTAGGAGAGAGGCTGAATTGCAGGAGGCTATCATAAGTACCTGGTTCCAGTTCTAAATGCTGTAAGTACTGTAATGGCTGTTCTTCTTCTGTGGCCATTTTTTTCCTGGGCCTATTATGGCTTGGCTTCATCATTTTTAATCTATACAGAATACAACTGAGTTTTATTTTACTCTCTGAGAGCCCTCCTAGCCTGTTAAACCTCTGGTATCTTAGCTTTTTAAAACCTGGTTCTAAAAACAGATGTTTTTGCTGAATTAAGAATGAGTTATAAAAGATTGCAAGCTTCCCTATAGCAAAGCACTGAAGAAATAGAATCCAGGAAATCATTATAGATCTATAGTTCTCAATAACTCAGAGGCAAAAGAAAATCAAATCTATCTATCTATAGAGTCCTTGGGGCTCTCTGAACTTGGTTGTCTTCTTGCAAATGTTTTGTTACCCAGCTAGGTAACATCTTCAGTGCTAGCTGAACCAAGCTCAGAGCACCCGAAGGACTCCACAGTTCAACCTGAGCTACATATATTCTCTTGTATTGCTATCTATCTATCTATCTATCTATCTATCTATCTATCTATCTATCTATCTATCTATCTATCTATCGAATAGCAAAATGATGAGACAGAATTAGGAAGAGGAAGAAGAATATAAAAGAAGATTGAGAAACTGTTGGAGAACAGGAGAAAATCCAAAAAACCAGCCTTTAGAGCAAAAATTCCATAGATCAACTGTACAAAATAACTAAAAATGTCCAAAGCCGGAGGAGAACAAGATACAAATTAGATACTCAGTATCCGTAAGAGGCAGTTTAACTGTATATAGTAGAGCAGCTACTGAAGAAATTCATTACAACCCAGTGGATTAACTCAAATTAATGGCATTAAAAAAACCACAGTATTTTTGAAAGATTATATATTTTTTAAAAGATGACTTAATGAACGGGGTGGGCTAGAAGAACTGAACATGCATAATACCAGTACAGAACTCAATATAATTACAGGAAAGACATTAAGGTTTAAGTACTATTTCCAAAGCCAGATTTAATTCCTTCAGCCAATTCATTTATTTTCAAATTGCAAAGGCAATGATTCCAAATAATGCACTATTTGCAATGACAGTAAATATCAAAGATACATTAAAAATAATATTCAGATATGGGCAATTACAAATATAGGAATGAGCAAGGTTAAGACCATTAGAAATTTAATCATACAAATTTGCTATACAGTCCTATAAGAAAAATTTACTGAAGAAAAATAAACATATACATCAAACATAGCATTCATAGAATTACTAATAAAGTGATACATTTCTTGGGAAAATTAAGGAAGGAATAGACGCACACACACACACACACGACTTGAGAAGTTAATTTACTTGTTCTAATTGGTAAACAAATGCATTAACTAAAATCACTCCAGAACATTCTGAAAAAAATGTTCCTTTTATAGGCACTGCAACGTCTCAAACGATTAAACTATATAATCACTTCTACTTATTGTTGGCCAAAATCTTTACTGAAGATAATCTTCAACTGTAATGTCTCTTTTCTGCTGCATATTAATGCTTTGTTCAGTCCCTCCTTCACCAATCATTCAGTTACTGAAACTGTTATACTACCCAGTAAGACATACTAAGTTTTCTAGCTCTGTGAACATTTACAGACATAATAAGTCATACATCATACAAGTCATCAAAAACAAAGTGTCTGCTTTATGGACTATGGAATAAAGAATGGTGGATGCCATTTATTTGTATTAGTTTCAACTTATTTCATGGCAAATTGGGATTCTTTGGGAAAAAGTGGAGGGGTACCAATATTTTTGGCCCTGTCTTATATGAATTGCTGCAGAATGGTACAAATACATTAATCAACTATACTAAACCCTTGATTTTACCAAGTTTGAATCAGTAGAGTTTGGATTTGACAGACAAATCTGAATTTCAGGCAACAACGAAATATCGTATATGTCTGAATGTCACTGGCCAAAGCAGTCTAGACACTGTATCTTCCCCTAAAAAGTGGATATACTTCTGAGTATACCTCATGTTTGAGTTCCAGCTGAATTGACTATGGTGACTTACAGTGTTTGTAGATAAAACTTTGAATACATAATCAAACATGGCTTTGAAGGGGAGAAAGGAGGTATGAAAAGTCTGAGTCTAAAAGAAACATTAGAGTTGACTGAAAAATTAGAATCAGGAATGTCCACTGCATGTGTTTGTGATGCAAAGAAATCAACTATGTCAAAGATGAGTGACAGAGAGAGAGAAATGTTAGCAGTAAAAATCTGAAATTAGGCCAAGAAAATGTATGAATCTAGCACAGGAAACTGTCTGCAATGAAGCAGTGCTCAGGTACTACATTCAACAATTTCATGTACATGGAGTGGAACTAAGATCATCAACTAATACAAGAACCAACTAATTGAAAATAAATTATAAAGAAGTGATGAATGGCTTTGTCAATTTTGCAAACAGAGTGAAATTGTTAACAAATGGAATCTTCAGTGAAGCTTTGAGTGTTTCAACAGAAGAATCAGAGTCTTCCAAGACTCATTGGATATTCTTTTCAAACCTCTCACTCATCCAATATCATTATAACTGTAACCCAGGAACCCCCCTCCCTCTCCCTGAGCAGATGGTTATCAATAAGGCAGGTTTTCTCATTTACAAGTGCATTTTTGGTCTTGAAAAATCAGATACACCATTTAATGGGCTTTTGGTTTTAATAGATATTCATCCCTTTAGTCCATTAAATTGAGAGTTCATTGCAATTTGTCTTAATTTTTCAAACCAACTTACATTTTATATACAATCCAAAACTAAACACTGTACCTTTTTCTTTCAGTTCTTGAGGCTTCTCCCATGTTGATTCTAGGGTCCTATTATTATAGTAGTATGTCTTCCCATCTGCTGTTTTGTACTCTGTCCATTCAGAGACTGCTGTTGCTCCAGCCAATGCAGCAGGTGAAGCGGCAATAGCAACCTGAGGATGGATCATAGGTACAATGGGAGGAGCCATTCCTGGCAAGACACCTACATAAGAAGGAGCAATAAAAAGGCAAATACTGATGAAAAATAACTTTGTGAATTAGAACCACCAACCTGAAATCAATATATAAAGCAACTAAAAACCAAGCTATTAATAATAGTAGTTGACATATTTCTTCTAAACAGCATCCCTGTGTTAGTAAACTGTAAAAATGTTGTGTACTACCAGCACAAAATGTAATGAGTATAAACTCTTGATTTCACAACTGCCTACTTAAAACACAAACTGTAGTCAGTATTTGACATACCATGTGAAGTTGTACCATTTATGTTTAAAAAGTTCTCTAATGTTCGTAATAGTTCTCATCATTAAACAAGTATAAATAATTTACTGTAATACTTTCAACAATAACTAAGAGTAGTAAAGTTAAAAAAGCCAACCACTGCAGAGTGAATATCAGTAAATAATCACTTTTAGTGCTTTTTCATGTCTAGTTAAGGTATGTGATCTACCAAGGGAGTTTTATATTTGAAAGCACTATGAAAGAAAGAATAGAGACTTACAGGTTCCATTTCCTACCGATGGCAGTAACCATTTATAGGAATCAATATTTTTCTATATCTTTGCAATCTGAATACTGGAAATTTTCCAGTCTTGACAGATTGCCTCTTTATAGTAATTTTTAACTGGAAAAATATTTTTGCTGAAGGTTAACTTTACAGTATTTTATTTCTAGACCTGAACTTTACTTAGAAGAGTTTTAAAATATTTAGTACAATTTTAGAAAGAAATGAGCTGTTGGGTTAAACAGTGATTGTTTAATTAAATCACTAATGTTGAAGTTTCTCTATAACTGCGTTATCAGTTAAGAATTTTTCTTTTAAGTGCATCAATGTAAAGTGTTATTTTTAAGTTAACAAAAAAGAATAGGCTTAGTGCCACATAAGACTAGTTTTGAGTGACAATGCCATTTGTTTCTGAATGAAATATAGGTATGTAGAACCACCTTCATAATATTGGTTTAAACATCAGACATATACATATATACACAAACACAAACACACTAACATGCAAACAAGGTCTGGTCACTGTACAAATGGCAGGAGAGGGAAAACCAAGCACTGTATCCCCACAAAGAAAAACAAAAACAAAACATGGACATGGAAGAGATTCACATGAGTAACTTTAACTTGCAGAAAATTCATACTAATTAAACTAATAATTTCAGTTAATTGGGAAAGTTCCTTGCTGGCTACATGTGAAATCTGTACTTATAAGTATATTTTGAAAATAAAGATAGGAATCCAGTCATTTGGGAAAAGCAAATAAAAGGTAAAACAACAACATTCACTACCATGCCAACTTACAGACAAAACAGACTAAGATGTTTTTCAAAAATTACCGGTCTTGGTGGTAGCGACTGTCTTTACATACGGGCAGCTGACTATTTGCATCATTGCTACACCTGCAAAATGGATAAGCAAGCATGTTGGAAAGCTGCCACTGTATGTCAGCCACCACTGGGAATCTGAGCAGTTTCAGTTTCCTGCTAGAAATTTAGCATGCCATTTTTTCCAATGGCAACAAGAAATAAGTAGGAAGGTTTAAAGTCAGTTTTGTGCTAATATTTTATTAAAGTAATGCCAGAAAATTACTGGTTTTGTCAGTAATCTCGCTTTATAATGAGCAAGGGGACTTGGAAGACGTCAGTCCTTTCTAAAAAATAAAAATCGAACAACGACCCAGGGATTTAAATTCATTGAGGATACACTTCTTCTTCGCCCCTTTACAAAGCAATGCTATGAGAATAAATCATACTTACTCTGCTCTATTTACATACTTTTGTCTAGTACTTAGGTAAGAACAGCTTATACAAATCAATTCTATGCATGTTTACTTTGAAATAAGTCCCACTGCATTCAACAGGGCTGAGTTACAAGGGCTTACAGGACTGCCGTATATTTAATAAGGTTAAAACAGAACAGTGGCGTTGAGAAGCCAACATTTAATTAGAAAGTCAAGAAGTATCAGTTTGGAAGGGGGAAAAAAGACCAGATTGAAGGTAAGGAAGTAAACTGAGATAAAAAGTGATAAGATAAACAGGGCAAAATAAAGAAATAGAAAAGCTGAGTTGATGGCTCATTAGCAGCCTATATTAGGTCTATCTCATAATTTTTTTCACCTCAAACATTCTCGTCTAAATTTCAAATAAGCTCTCCAAAACCTGGAAGCTTTTTTTCCTGCTAATTACTCTCTGACAAAGATAACTTTGAAAAGATCCAATTACGTATATTTCTCGAAAGGAACAAAGCTGGTAACTGTTTTATATTTAAAAACTGATTGGCAGATCACATAAGATTAGGCATCCAGTAATGAGCAGAGAAGGGAGGAAATAGTATGTGGAATTAGTTTCCACACAAGAGATTATTTAATGAAGGTAACTGCAACAGAGGTATAGTTATGATATCTCCTAACACTTAATATGAAAAAATTGAGACTTTCTGAATCCTTTTTCAATATTTTCACTCCCATCTATCATTTTGTAACCAAATATGAAATTAATTTTCAGTTCAAGCACACACACAAAAATAAAATAAAATGCTTCTCCACAAATGTCCAATACAAAAATGTTAAAGTATCATTCAATAGTTTCTGTATTAACTGCTTCCGGATAGCATTTTTTCTAATAAGATCCACAAACTTTATTTCTGCATGAAACAAAACTGTCAAGGTTTTGAATTCATGCTGGCTAAGTTGCTTGAACAACCCTGAAAATTAAGGCCAGGGCTGCATTTTTATTAAGAAGAAGCCCCTTTCCATGCACTAGAAATTACTCCTGCACACACAATTGTGCTGAAAGTTATTATAAACAAATATGTATGGAAGATTATTGAACCTGTACAAGATTTCTGAAGAAAACAGTAAGTTTGCCAACCCTGACATAAAAATCTATAGCTACCTTTTAGAACAAATATGCAAACTAAGAGCAATTACATCTACAAATACTAGTATAAACTGTACTAGACTGGTTTTGCAAATCTGCACTGTTGTAATTATACAACAGAGAGCCTGTTTGGCGTAGTGGTTAAGGCACCAGGCTAGAAACCAGGACACTGCGAGTTCTAGTACCGGCACGAAGCCAGCTGGGTGATCTTGGGCCAGTCCCTCTCTTTCAACCCTAGGAAGGAGGCAAGGACAAACCACTTCCAAAATCTCGCCAAGAAAACTGCTGGGATACGTCCAGGCAGTCACCAGGAGTCAACAGTGACTCGAAGGCAAACTATTTATTATTTAATTATTAAACAGATCAAATATGTATCTCACTTAATTATTTGATATAAAACAATAAAGGTTCTCAGTTATTGTGATAACAAAGAAGCTTTTAGGATTACAAAAAGTCTGAACTGGGACTTCTCTCCTTGTCGCTTTGTTTGTTTGCAAAGTGAAAGTACATTGCAAAGTAAAATGCTCTAGCCCTGTATTTTTTTCTCCTCTGTAAAATAGTATTCCAACCTGACAGGACTTTTTGTTAGAAAAACAGTCCAAAGTTAACACACAGCTGGAAAAAACTATTGTGGTGGCATGTTGTTGTTGTTCAGTCGTGTCCGACTCTTCGTGACCCCATGAACCATATCGCGCCAGGCCTTCCTGTCCTTCACTGCCTCCCTGAGTTGGCTCAGTTTCATGCTCATTGCTTCAATTGCTTAAATGGTGGCATGTACGGGTATGCAAAATATTTTAAATTATTTCAACAGATGAAACTGAAAACTATTGTGCTTTACTTGTGAAACTGCTATTCTGAACATTCTGGAAATGTTTCAAGTTTAAGGATAAAATAAAATGGGATCTCTCTGTAAGCTGCCCTGACCTCATGGAGGAAAGGCAGGAAATAAATGTAAATAATATTAATATACATAATAAGACTGCCAGAACACACTATCATTCATGCTTTTATTTTATTTTATCATTATTTTAGAGAATACTGATACTTTACAAAATAGCTACTAGAATTTCACTTTGCATGTTCTAAAGACACCAAGTTTTCACTACAAAACCAAACATTTTGGCAAGTGGCAAAGAGCACAAACAACTAGCATTTTATGAGATGTGACCTTATCTCACAGCATGACGCTGACAGCGTCAAAGTATGAAACTGGCACTGTATATACTTTTTCTAAAAATTACTTTCAGGCAACTGAGAATGCTTACAATGTTTGCAACCATTCTCATAAAAGATCCAATTTTGTAGTTAAAATAAATCCATTTTCAAATATATTTCTATAATTGGATTACTACTTTGGAAGAATAAGTGAGCCAAGAAAAGCAACAGCATCTTTCCACTAGATCCAAACAAGGAAACTACATTTGATAGTTTCCAAAAAAGCCAGGGCATGAATTTATAACTTAAACTGGATTTTCAAATCTTGGCTTGTCAAAAGGCAGAAGCCACAGCTATTGGTTTGCATGCACTTAGTTAACTATAGCTTTCTGGCCTGTATCCATATTCAGGCAAAGGAAGGAATGAAGAAAAAGGTTTTGAGTAAAGAAACATAATTTTTATTAAGATTTAATAAACTAACACGGTTATCACTTTAAGCACAACCACCTGACACTTGACTTCATTTTGAGATTATAAACTATACATTCTAGTAATTTAAATGGAAATATGGACCAATCAAGTGTGATTTAAGATTACATTATGTTCCACTCTGAAATGCTCTGTACCCTGAAATTCATGAGGAACCTATGGTTATAATTTGAGACGTATAATGAAGGTCTATCTCTTTCCTAAGCCTTCTATGAATGGCTTTTAATTTCTCTGTGCTCTCTCAGTTTTTAATTAAGTTATTTTATACTATTTTAATTTACTGTTTGTATTTTATATTTTAACTATTATAAATCATTTTGAGATTTGCAATAAAGGAAAGCAGTACAAAAATATTAAATAAATGGCCAATATGTAATGCTAATGATCTAATACAGACTTCAGCGTATATAGTGTGTCTCTAAGTATCTGTCTATAATTGTGAACCTTCTTCCTGGCCAAATCATATTTCAGGAATAGCTCTACTAAGGAGTAAAAGGAATAAAATGTGAGCCAAACCACATGCTGTCATGTATTTTGGTCCACATTTTTAATCATATATTTCACCTAACAATTACCTGTATGCAAAATAACTATTAATGTCTAAAGTATTCTATAATTCTATCATTTATTGTTTTAATATTTATCAAAGACATGTAGGCATAAAGGGCCTAAATCAGGAGAGAGGATGCTGAACTACAACTTTCAGCATCCTTCATTATTGGTCATAACTACTGGGGCTGTTGAAAGTTATGATCAGGTAACATATGAGGTCAAAGGTTCTTCTATTCTCTAAATAATAAATACTGCTATTACCAACTGTAGTTTAAACTCATTTCTGACAATTAATCCTTTGATAAGCTTTTAGAGGTACGTTAGCCAGCCTAAAAGATAACCTTCTGAATACATTCACTGTTTTGTTCAAGATGAAAGTTTTCTTCTATCCACAATAACACTTATTTTTAAAGAGAGTAACACCAAATATCCCATTATTAAGGCACAATCCTATGCATGGCTACACAGAAGCATATCTTATTTAGTTTAAGGCTGCTTATTCATAAGCTAAGTTCTAGAGGATTGCAACCTAGGTACCACAGACAAGGTGAATTTCTTCCAAATATCAAGTTGAAATAAATACACTTTAAGTTAAAGCACAAGATGTATTCTGCTTAAGCAAAAAAAGTGGCTTCATAGATATTGAATGCTTTTTTTTTTTTTTTGCTTTAAAGAACCTATCTAAAAATTCCAAATTTTAACAATAAATTTTAAATGAAGAGGATTCAGGCAAATTGCATACACAGTGGACACATGAGTGCAAACAAATTGACAACACGGACATGTGGCTAATAAGACAGTTATTGTTTCCCAATTTACCTGGAAGTGGAATAGGCATGCCAGGAAGGGGAACACGAAATGGAGGTACCATTACTGGTGGAAAAGCAGGTATTGCTGCTGTTGGCTGAGGAACTGCATGAGGAACTGCAGGAGGCAGCGTCTGTGGGACTGGCTGGGGTACAGTCTGCACAGGTGTAGCAGAAGGAGCAGAGGTTGAAACACTGACTGAAGGTGTGGCAACTGAAACAGCTGAGCTGGGGGTCTGGTCTTGTGTTGTAGGTGCTGATAAAGAAAACAAACATCTGAAACCCTGAATCATACAATACAAATTGTTTATTTTATAGGGTTCACCAAGACTTCCTTGCAAGGCTGGGTATATTTATAAATATATAAACAATTTGCAAAGAGGATGCTTAAGAACTTACATGCTTTTTCATTACAGTAAAAACTTGCATAACAGATTTAAGAGTAAGAACATCCTCAAGTTGCTCTATCCTTTCAAAGGCATTTGTGCTTCAAGGAATAAATAATTACATTATTTATTCCTAAATGTAGCTCTAAAAAGTTACCCCATATCCATACACTCACCTCAAGAGCATATGTGAGGTATACTTCTGAAAAGAGCTGATACTGAGATTTTTTTTCCAGTTTTCTTCAAATAATAGTTATATCATTTCACCTCCATATTTTCTATACAATTCACCTAACAAACCTTCACAGCAATGGCAAAATATTTGTTGATTCACTAAACAGTAAAATATATATAATCAGTTAAAAAATGGATGTAATAATATAAATGTATACCAAGATGGTATCTTCCCTGTTCCTTAGAGTATCTGAACATATGAAATACAAAAACAAAACATTTCAGACCAAAAGGAAAGCACTACAAGACTGTAACATCCGATCTTTCAAGCGTGAATTGAAAAATTACAAACTTTTAGAATCCTATAGCACCTCCAGGTGGCACTAGAAGTTAATACATTTGATAGCTTGATACTACATTTTGATACTGAATTGCATTTAAGAAACTAATATAGGTCATGTTGAATGAAATCAGGAAAAGCAGCAACTTGGATTAATTTAGAAGTCATTTACTCAATACACACTTATTTTTCTATAGATCCAAAAAGAATAAAAGGGGGAAACACGTATTTAGTAATTCAGAAATTGAATGCTCCCCAAACTGGAAGTGTTTGATTTTATAACAGATCATATGCATTTTTGCTGTTTAAAAAAAGTAAATCTACAATTTTATAAAAGAGTCTAATCAGTAACATTCTCATTGCTTCAAGAGCCACAAATATAAACAATTGTTGCACAGGAACTGCCACTTTCTACCAATTGCCTGCATTGCCAAGTATTTACACTTTAAAGACAGATGGAAACAAAAGTACACTAATTATATATTCGCAGCTTATATGAACTGGAGCCTAGTGTTTTTTTCCTGTCTCCTCCTTGGTTTAAATGCTTGTTACACAGATGGCGGGTAGGAAAGAACTTTGGAGAGAGATGTGTATATGCATATATATACACATAGAAAGACACAAAACCACATTTATCCACTTTGTTAAAACTTACTTAGACATCTATACGTCTAGAAACTTTATATGCTAAACTTCTTACAAATCACTGCCATATATTCATCTTTATACTACAAAGTCAATCAGGCACTCCTGATAAAAGCTGAACATGGTTAATATGCCACAAAATTCAGCACTTCTCAAAAACTCAAACCATTCTTCCTTGAACTGTCATGAGTTTGGAGTGCTGCAGAGTCATCAAACTCAGGAGAAGGAAAAGGAAGAGAAAGAAGAAAGAAATACATGTAAAGAGAAATAGGTGCTAAACATACGGAAAAATAAAGGATTTTAGTTGTTCTCTATTTTGTAAGCTAAAACAGGGCTTTGGAAACAATTGGCTATGGTTATTTTGGGACAGATAATAATGACGTGTTTTATATTAGTAACCATTGTGATTGCTCTTACACTTTCCCACTGGATATGAATACATGCATATAATTTAACAGATTAGGACTGTCACCAGCTGATCCCTTAATAACAAATGCTGACAGAAGTCAAACATCTCTTTGTAAAATATGAAGACATTTCAAACAAGTAAGTGTGCAGCTTTTTTCCTCTCCTGAGCAAAAGTGTACATTCCATTAGCAATTCAGTTAAGGAACTGGAAGGTACAGTATTTCAAAAGATGCTTCGGAGCATACAAATGCAGCACTGTCTTGTCTTTAACCCATTAAAGCATTGTGCTTTTCTTGGAAGCACACCAAGGTGTTTACAAGCTGTTGCAAATCAGTGGTAATTCACATTTTGAAGTAGCTTCTAGGGATCAGATTCAAAACACAGTGCAACCCTAGAGATTACTGTCATTCATTTTCCTACTGATGACATTAGCTGTAATAAGCAAACAGAGAATTTGTTCTAGAATTCAGCTTTGAGGCAGAATTTCATCAAATACATGATTAAGCACTCAAAGGCATATGAGGATTCTACTCCTCATGTATTATCTCAGATTTAGTATCTGTATCAAAAGAGGCAAACAAGATTGAGAATAATCTTGAAGAAATTTACAACTTCCTTTTTTAAAGTGCTTTTTTTCCCCCTGTTAAAACAATGGGATATTTTGAATGTGATACAAATGTCCCTAGAGACTATGGAGATGCAACAATAGGCACATAGAATAGGTGCACAATTTAAATAACCTGACTCAACCCCTAAAAAAATAAAACTAGGTTGTTTACAATACAAATCATCCATACAGATGTGCTTGTTCTTCAGATTGTGTTGCACTTAAGCACTGATTAACAGCATAAATGATAATCCTAAGGCATACATATGAGAGTCATGAAGACCTACAAAATTACATTGATACAACAAATAACATAATAAATCATTTCTAATGTTTATAAACCTCCCCAACCCTCTTTCTTTCATTTTGCAATTTTACTCACTGGAAACTGTTTGTGAAACTGAAGTTGCTGTTGTAGTAGTAGATGTTGTAGAAGACAAGCTACTTGATGATGTAGATGGAGATACTGCTGATGCAGGACTACTAGTAGTAGGTGTTGAGGCACCTACAGCCTGGGCCTGGGCCTGAGCTTGGGCAGCTAACATTGGGGTCAATTCAGACTGCTGAATAACTTTCACTCCATCAGGTTTAGTCCATGCTGACTCACGTGTCCGTGCATTATAATAATAAACCTAGGGGAAAATTATATTTTTATGTTACTCTACATAACTTTCAGTTCATCCTATACTATCTAGCCATTATAATTACTTAATTTAGCTTCAAGCTAAGTTTTGTATACCATCATAATCAACAAAGGCCTGGTGGTTAGTGTAGACAGCCCACAGAAAATCTGTTTTAACTTTTATTTCCACTGTTTCCTATGAGAATTTAAAATGTGATTTATAACATTTAAGTCAGCCCACTGGCCATTATTAATACAACTGATTACCACAACACTAACTTTTTTGAGCAACAAAGAGGTGTTTTTAGTTATCACTGTTCTCAAACATTCAGAATATAAAACAATCCAACAGAAAGCTTTAATTGGAATTGTTTAAGCCTATGGAAAAATATTTTTTCATTCCATTTGCTATCATAACAATTACTGTTATAATTATTAATAGATATAAATCTGACCTTTCCATCTGGAGTTTTGTTTTCTACCCATATCTCTTCACTAGGTGGCATAGTTGGTGTTCCAGGGGCAGACACTGGTGGCATCCCTGGAGGAAACATCATACCAGGCGGGGGTGGCATAGGAGGAGGCATGAAAGGCGGTCTCTATAAATACACACAATAGTAATATATCAAACACTCTTAATCGAGTACCTTCATAATAAAGAAGAATACAATACCTCCTATAGAAATGTTAAATATGGTAGTTCATGTAAAAGAAGTAAGGTCATCATGGAAGAGGGAGAAGTAGCATAGAACAGAACAATGCATTTCCCATTACAGGAAAACAGAACTTGCCCAATATAGTTCCAAGACAAGCACAATTAAAACATAGTTATATTAGCAATAAATGCAAAGTCATAGCAATTCAATGAGTGAAATTTATGAAATTTATTCATAACTTGGAATTGCATGCTGAAAAAAGCATGGTTCATCTTACTGCTATATTTAAGACTAATGTACCAAAAAGAAGCTGCTTGTACAAGATTCGGAAGCAATTTTTCATATAAGTCTTCCTACTTTATTTGATTTATATCCTGCCTTTCATTCAATTGCTCAAGGCAGCATATATGAAGCTCTCTCCTATTTTCCCCTACAACAATCTGTGAGATAGATTGGGCAACTGGCTGAAAGTCACCTAGTGCGCTCCTGTGGTCTAGAGTGAACTAGAATCTGGGTCCCCATTCTCTTGGTCCAACACCTGATCAACACATTTACAAGCCTGGTATATGTAAAAGTGCAAGCAACCATTTCATTAATGACCACTTTAAAAAAATATTATAATTATATATTATTTTGAGTTTAAGAGCTCTCAATTGCACATCAGTGGCACGTACATTTATTCATGACATTTTACTTTCCATCTAACAAATCATCTGATAGTTCACAAAACTCATCAGCATTATAGAAAAATAAAATAAATGTAAAGCATCAATCTATAAAAGCTGTGAGCCATAACCAAAACAGAAAATAAAATAAATGTAAAGCATCAATTTATAAAGGCTGTGAACCGTAACTAAAAATTCATTTTGACAACTGAAAATTGGGAGACTGACTGTAGAACCCAGGCACCTATATGTATATGCAGATATATTTTTAACCATGTCTTTACATTTTCCTCATTAGATATTATTATAATTTTGAATTTATTTATTGGATTTTGAGGAAGTTCAACTCTAAAAAGAATCTGAAAGCTTACAATAATTAAAAATAAGCAATTTAAAGAAACATGACCACCTGAATAAAACCACAAAGGTAACATTCAGGAAAAAAAAAAAGGGTAGGCCTAATGGCAGGCCTGGGAACAGAACCAGGTCTTAAGAAACTTCTGGAATACTCAAAGAGTGAGAGTCATACCTATCTCTGGGGAGATGCTGTTCCAGACAGAAGGGGCTGCAACAGAGAAGGCATGTTTCCTTGGTCCTGCAAGATGACAACCCACTTTTCCTGACCATACTGGACAGGCAGAACTGGAGACTGGTAGCCCCTCAAATAACCAGACTTTTTAGATGATAACTAGCACCTTGAATTGTATCCAAAAGCTGACTAGCAACCAATGCAGTTTTTGCAGCTGCAATGACACATGGCATAGTGAGGAGTGCCCATTACTGCATGTGCGGCTGGATTTTTGACCAGTTGTACTTCTGGATGGTCTTCAAGGTCAGCCCCACATATAGCACACTGCAATAGTCCAATTGTGAGATCACTAGGGTGTGAATGACTTTCTGAAGGGCCTTGCAGTTGAGAAAATGATGCAACTGATATACAAAGGCCCTTCTGGCCACAGCTGCTACCTGTTCTTCAAGCAGTAGCTGCAAGTCAAGGAACACCGCCCCCCCCCCGGCAAGTTACACAATAGTCTCAAATGAAGAAATGCAAGCTCATCCAAGACCAAAGGTGAAAATATCCCAGACCCAGAGGGCACAAACAACCGCAGCCCCTCAGGACTGAGCCAAAGTTTGTTCCTCCTTATCCAGACCCGAATAGCCTCCAGACACTGGGTTAGTATATTAATAGCTTCACCTGCACAGCCTGAGGTTGAGAAGTACAATTGGATATCTTCACCTTGCTGATAATACCAGACCCCAAACTGCCAGATGATCACATCCAGTGGTTTCATGTAGATGTTGAACAGGAGGAATGAGAACATTGATCAAGGAGCACAAGGATGGATGCGCCAATCCCACCTTGGCTCTGCCAATGGTCACTGACAAGCCCAACCAGTCTCTGTATGGTACCCCAGTGTGAACCTGATTGAGATATGTCCAGATAAACCACTTCCACCACAATCCTCTGGAACTGCTGTCTGACCACTTTCTCAACAATCCTTCCCACAAAGGGAAGGTTGGAAATTGGATGATAGCCTTCCAGCATGGATGATCCCAGCAATGGCCTCCTGAGAAGGAGACAGACAACTGCCTCCTTCAAGGCCAGGGGGGACTACTTCATCCCTCAGAGACTGATACCATCACATGGACTCACTGATAGGTCACCTCCTGGACCACCTTAACATCCCAGGAGAGGCTTGGATCTAACAATCTAACTAGGTGGCCAAACCTAGTTTGGAGGACCTTGTCCACTTCACTGGGAGTCACAGAATTAAACTCAGTCCAGATGAGTCCAGACTGCGCCCCAGGCAACTCACTTGGATCTGCCCAGTCAGAGTCAAACTCTGAGCAACTTTATTGGTCAGATAGCATGAATGTTACTCACTGTGACCCTGTAGATATTCCTAGGACCCATCCCTCCCCAGCAGGGAATGGGTCACCCTGAACAGGACTGCAGAGTGGTCACTGGCAGATGCAAAAAGAGTGAAGAAGTAACAGCATTTTGCAGTCCTTATGGTCACAACGTAAGCCCAAACATGGGTTGTTACTTGTGTTCGGATGGATTCATTCATTGTCTTCTGCCAAGAGTGCTCTAAGCGTTTCTTCTAGCGCTTCATCTTCCAGAGCTCCTCAGAAAACCAAGGTGCACAGAAAGAGGCTGCACAGGGACAATCTAGTCCAAGGTCTTAGTCACCTACCTATTCCAGGCCACAACCAAGGCCTCAGCTGATCTGCCTACCAGATTCTCAAGGAAAATCACAAGGTCCCACTGGAACCCAACAGGGTCTATCAGTCGCCTGAGATAGGTTGATCAAACAGACCCTATCTCTCTGTGGAGAGGGGAGGAGTATGTGTGACACCAGCAAGCCAGAGGGCAATCAGAGAGTGATCGGTTCACAGCAACAGACTGACGTCAATATGCTCCAGTACTAGATCATGTTACAAAATAAAAAACAAATGTAGCGTGCAACCCCCGGTATGCATCAGGTCCTCAGTTACTTGGTACAAGTCCATAATTGCCACGACGGCCATGAACTCCTGAGCTGCCTTGGACTTAACGTCTCCAAGACATAGGTTAAAGTTCCTGAGAACTACAAGTATTTTAAAATGTAATTTTACTTTACTGGTATTTGAATATTTGTAAATTGCTTAGAGACTGTGGTAGATAAATTGAGGTGGTAGATAGAATTGCACAAATGAATAAAATTAGAAGAGCACTAACAGCAAGAAAAAAAGTTAATGGTAATAATTTAACATTCTACTAAAATATAGAACTAAAAAGTCTGGGAAATGTATAAGGTCTTCATCACATCAAACCAATGTGGATGTCTGGCAAGCCTCTCTGTGGAGGAAATCCCATAAATGGATAAGATCTTGATGTAAGCCTTTTTCTCAGGAAATAATTATTTCCAAATAATCCAGTTACTCTATACACATGTTAATTACCCAAAAATTACCTTGCAATTCAGTTTTCTGGCATTGACTAAGCTCACTGATACCATACAATAATAAACACTGTAGAAGTTCAGAGGGAACAGGCAACAATTAAGCTATCGTAAGAGTAGTGAAAGACCAGTTTGCCTGGAAAACGGGCTTCATATACCTCTAGCAGGTATGGAAAAGGAAATTTAATTAAAACCCAACAGTTGATAAGCCAATAAGAATGAATCAGAAAATTAAAAGAGGCTCAGGTGACAGGCCTGAAAAGCACAGTTTTTAACACAAAATTCACTATTGCTTAAATTCTCCTGCATGAAAGAAGACCTAGCTGGTAAATAGTTTAAAATATAAAGAACCAGAAGGCAAGGTGAAAAGCCAGCAGTAAAACAGCAATCTGAGAGATTTGAAAAAAAAAGCTGGGAGGAACCTCAGAGGATTCAGCCGCTTGCCTGGTTGAGGATCCACTAAAACGGTTTGGACATATAAATACCTACAGTGAAGGGGAACATACCATTCCATGAGCCAACCAGTTCCACTGACTGACAGCTCTTAAAGGCCTCGATTAAAATTCTATTGCAGAAAGGTGAGAAACAAAAGCTGATAATAAGGAATATGAGAAATACTTCACAGGGCCTGTTACAGATAAAAGAAGGTACTTGTAAGAAAGATACAAAGATAAAAGATGCTAGACAGACTAATAGAACTAGAATACTCAAAGAGGGCCAGGCTAAAAAAAAAAAGAAAAAGTAAAAACCTGGAACTGTTGGAGGAATTTAAAAGTGGAATAATGAAAGCAGGAAAAAAAGTGTTGAATATTCAAAGCTACATAAACAAAAAAGTTATATGCCACTGCCAGACAAAGGGAACAAACAAAAGTAGGTAGCAAGTTAGGTGACTGAATGAAAAAAAATTAAGACATAAAATCATTTGAAATATTGAACTACAATAAATACTAGAAACATTTGAGGTCAAATTCAACTGATATCTCTTCAGACATATTCTAAAAATTTACAGAATGGAGCCCAATTCTAGTTCTAAACAGAGGGAATTCCAGAATTTGGTAGCAAAGCAGAAGGCTTTTTTATGTGCCAATGTTCTTCTGCAGCAGGGAAAATCCTAAACAAACAAACCTGTCTTGCAGACCTTAATAACTATACAAATTTCAAATTAAAAAGCCAAACAAAACCTTGAACAGATTCTAGAAAATAACCGGCAACCAATATTTCAAAATGTAATTTATCTATATCTATATGATATAGTTACACATGATATATTGTTTAGTGGCCTAGATGTTGCATTGTGTACCAACTAAATCATCTAGATATAAGTCCTAATTAACTCTGAAATTCATTGTAACAGTGTAATACAGGGTTTCTAAAAGTATGGGTTGCACCCCAAAGGATCACAAGCAAATATGAGGGAGGTCAGAAATGTTTGTAGTTTGCTCCTTAGGTATTTTCTTTCAACAAAATATCTAAGATACACGCCAGATGAGCACCTGAAGGGTCATGTTTTATTTCAAATGTTTTCCTCAGCATTATTTACTATTACTGACTGGACACTAAAAAAAATTAAATTGCTTCATTACGCTGGAAATACTACTTTCATTGCCATGATAATTTTCTTTGTCAGGTAGCAATCTGAAAAAAAAGGTGGAAAAAACAACCAACATATTATGTTTCCTGCTTCAACAGTAACCAAGTTGAAATCTTGTAACACATCCTCACAGTTTAATGAAAAATGAACTGAATGAATGAATGAATGAAAATGAAATGAAATGAAATGAAAAATGTAACACATCCTCACAGTTTAATGAAAAAAAAACAGCAAGACAAAAGTAGAACTTAGTAAGAGCCAAGTCTGCAGTTCAAATAAGCTTCTCATTGCAAATGGAATATGATTTTTCAGCACATAAAACAACATTTCACACATTAAAAAGAACTGACCAATATAACCCATAAACATTTTACCTGTAGGTGCGGAGGTCCCATAGGAGGAGGAATTCCTCCAGGAGGTGGCATCGGAGGCATATTTGGATCAAACGGAGGACGTCCAAAAGGAGGCCGAGGTGGTGGAGGTGGGCCTCTCATCATACCAAAAGGTGGTGGAGGACGCATAAGAGGTGGTGGGCCTCTCATAACAGTGTTTGGTGGAGGAGCTGGACCACGAAATCTCAGTGCTTGCTGTTGAGCCATTCTGTGAGCAAAACCAAAAAGAACAAGTTTTGTTCTCAAGCTTGTTCATCATCATCAAAAGGCACTGCTGTTATGCAGGCAACAAAACACAGTCACAGAAGCTCTCATGAATAATACTGAGACTCCAAACTTTTGAGAAGTTCTGTTTTCACCATTTACCGTATTTTTCCGACTATAAGATAATACTTTTTTCTAAAATCCTTACCCTAAAAACTGAAGGGCGTCTTATTCAAGGAAGTCAGCCGAGAATCGCGGTTGCAAAACTGCCAAACTTTGTTTCTGCAGAGAGGCTTCTTTCTATTGCTAGCCTTCAATCACGAGTGAAATAGCTTGTTTCCCAAACAGACTTCCTCCAATCACGAGCCTGATATAACTGACGTCAGCTGATGCTGAACAAACCAATTAGAGGAAGGCTGTTTGCAGAGACAAGCTATCGGCAGTTTCACTCGTGCTTGAATGTAATCAGTTATGCAAAAGAGCCTGGAAATAGAGCTGCAGAGAGACGGTTTGGACCTCCTCCCACCGAGTGTATCAGGTAAATGTTAACTAATTACTAAATAAAAATGTGTTCTGGGTAAATGTTAACTAATTACTAAATAAAAATGTGTTCTGGGTAAATGTTAACTAATTACTAAATAAAAATGTGTTCTGGGTAAATGTTAACTAATTACTAAATAAAAATGTGTTCTGGGTAAATGTTAACTAATTACTAAATAAAAATGTGTTCTGCACTATCTTTAAAATACTGATTTTTAAATTTTGGGCTAGAAAAGTGGGGGGCGTCTTGTACATGGGGGCGTCTTATTGTCGGAAAAATACGGTAAATGTTCTGTGAAACAGTAGCTAGGTAGGAATTGCTTAGAATGGAAAGACACTATGCAAGTTTCCCTCCTAACTGCAAAGTATCTCAGACATGAGATACAATCTCACACCTTTCCTATAGATATCTAAGACTTCCAAATCAATTCTCATAATACCAAGACGCCCAACAGTCTCATAACATGAATGGGCATGCAAAACATGGTTGAATGAGAACATCTACATTATTTTCACCTGTAATCAGAGCAGAATTTGAGTATACTAAACCCACTGTAACACCCAGCCCTCTACAAAGGTACCTTAGTAAATGTATATATAGAAAAAACATTCACCTTTGTAACCAAAAACGTTCTTCTGATGCTCTCAGGAAAACTATTTTGCCCACCATTTAGTACCAGTGCAAAGCAATGTTGGCATGATGACTCAAAATTGAAAAAAACAAAGGTTATAAGGTGGTGAACGACAAAGACATAATATTCAACACTCAATATTCAATGCCTTCTAATTTAGGAAGCTGCACAATATTTAAGTGCTTAAGAATGGTACTGTTAATAGTAAATTTATAATCTGACAAGTGACACTGCCACCTAATCTAGATGGTCAAGAACCTTATCAGATTATTGTATTTTTGATAAAAAAAATTACAATATATATGCATAATGTATCAGGCATGAAAGATAAACATATGTAAACATTTGTTATGCTTTTAACATTGGTGAGGGCAATGTGATAGCCTCTACCCATTTAAACTGCAATCCCCATAAACTATAGTTAAAAAAAGTCAATGAAAATGGGAAATAATATAAAATCTGGTTTGTGACATGTTTTAAAATATCAGCAATGCTGGCCTAAACCTTTCATCTATCATGCACATGTGTCTTCATAAGATGCCCTTATGAAGTAGTACTTTTATTTATTATCTACTTATAAATAAGTACAATTTGCTTAAATTAAATGCAATCACCCTGAAATCTGATTAAGTTAGCTCTTCCAAAAACTAAATGCATCTGCAGTCACTAAATGAGAAACATTAAATGGAATGAACTCTTTGAAAAAGTCAGTTTAACTCCTGAGCCAAAACTTGTATGAAGAGTTGGATTTTTCCAGATTATCAAACAGGTACAGATTGCAAAAGTAAATTCTCTTGTGACCACTACTTTTATTTTATACCAACAGGAGATGACCAAGGAAGCAAGTATATTCTGGAACATCCTCCAAATCAATCCCAGGAAGGACAACTGGACAGAGATTCATAATTCATAGAAATTTATTATTTCCTATGTCTACACATATTTTCAGGGTAATTCATGCTAGGCATCTAGAAAAACCTTCTCTTCAGGTTCAGAAGATAGTCTGATTTCCAGAAAATACAGTGCTTTTACCTTGTAAAAGCTTTCTTCTACTGTCTTTCTCCCCACCAAAATCTCCACTGTTTATTGGACATAACCACCTCCCAAATTCTGGCATAAGAGAAATAGTATAAGCTGACCATATCTTAGTTTGAAGGCTTTTAATTATTGGATACTATATGCAAGGTGCTACAGCCATTCTAATAATGAATAAGATGTGGGCTTAGTCTAGCAGGTCCAGCTTGCCCGCGTAGTCTAGTTTTGTTTCTAGTCATAATGTTTAATAAGAACATTGTCTTTTATTTATACCAAATACTATATTCAAAATTGGGCAATTGCAGTCTGCTACCATAAATCCTAAGGCTGCATTTGCCTAACATGTTAAACCAGGTTATTATATAAGTTTTTAAACTAAAACCTTGGGCAAACTTTTTACTTAAGATTTGTGTTAGGTAACATATCTTAACCACAGTTACCTTGTTATCCAGATTCCAAAGATGGGGTTATTTTGAAGTTAACTTGTATAGGGAGATAGGCAGCATATATACATTTGAAAAATAAAAAAATAAACTGACTGGCAGGCACCAGACACAGATTTGAGAGGCTAGAGTAACCACAAAAGGGACAACTCCAGCTATATTTGTTCTTTTCTCCCTTTTTCACTGTTCCATCATGGTGCTCTTTTTTTCAGTGCTCTCCATCATGATCCAACTCCCATAGAAATTATTAAAAAAGAGAACTGTTCACTTGTCAGTCCCAGAGTTATCTGGGATACTAGCCAAAATGGCTGTTATAGGTCACATGATTTGTTGAACTGCCTAATGCTATACTCACCAGAAAAGCACCAGAATCAGTTAGCTGCATTATAGGAAAGACACCCTAGGAGTTAAGGTTTTCCTATAGTTTTAATAAAATTATGGGTGATTTTTTTGGGTGGGGGGACAAGTCTCTTATCATAAATACCCAAACCAGGTAAACTCTGGATAGCCTTTTTTTGCTGCACACACTACTCTATGTTTATAGTCCTACATCATAAGAACAGTGAACACCCTCAACTGCATCTTGAAAATGCAAAGGGCTTTATTATGGTCTAACAATAACTGCACTCAAACATCTTCATGGTTAGTTTCATAACATACTGTACCAACAGGAGAGTAACATACTGTACTCTCAACTCTTCTGAAGACCATTTAATATATGGATATTTATTATTTATACATCACATTTATATAGCTGCCCATCTCACGAAGCGACTCTGGGTGGCATACAACAATTAATTTAATATTTTCTAATGGAAAATCCTGACACTTACCTTATCAGCCTACCCTATACGTGGATCACAGACACGATTTTGCTCTGCGCTCACATGTTGAGAAGACACAGCTTTCCAGCATGTGACCACCACACGAAGCAAAATATAAGCATCCACAAACACCAGTATCTGTATCGCATTTATAAGTCATAAAATCTGCTTTAGCTATGCTTTGGAGGGGTGAAAAAATAATACTGTAGTAGCAAGTCTTGGAAACATCCTTAGACAGGGTGGGAGATTCTCTTCGATATACAAACAGCCCTGATCACCTCGCCATATGCACCCTTCGTGTATCCATAAAGTGCTGACAGACACCGGATCAAGTCCGCTGCTCCAAGACTTCAGCAAAGTTTGTCTCCAGCCCTCCCTCAGACTTCTGTGCCGAACCCAGCACCCTTCTTCTGCCTGCGGAGCATGCACCAGGGCTTCGGGTTCAACACGGAACTACGAACTCCCCCCCACCCCCGCTTGCTTGCTTACTAGGTCCCCGCGCCATCCCACCGGCAACAGTCTCCACAGACAACACGGGAATCCAGCCCTGAGGAGAAAAAACGCTCCGTCCCCGCAGCGTTTCTCCTCCTCAGAAACACCAGGCGCGGACAGCCGTTGGAAATAGAAAAGCCCACACCCAACGACACACATTCGCGACGGAAAAGAATGAGGATCCCGCCCGGGGAGCGAACGGGAAATCTCACCGGGGCTGAAGCGTAGACTGAGGCGGGACGAGG